CCAGTAGGATGTGTCTGCTTGCTGCAAGAGAAAGAAGGCTGGTCCCATTGCCGAGGCAAGACAGCCGGCACCGAGGATCTTGTGGCCAGGAACCAGGTGGAACAGGCGTGCAACAAGGAAAGTGGCAAGAATGCCAACGAAGGCATTTGGCAACAGGTACAAGGATGCGGTCAGTGGGCTCACGTTCTGCACGCGCAGCCAAAACTGGCACGCGTAGAACTGCCAAGCGCTGAAGCCGCCAAAGGAGAGAAAGTAGCAGGTGGCCAGCGGCACAAAGCCTTTGATTTTCCATAGTGATGGCGGCATCAGCGGCTGGGCAATGCGCGTCTCGGCCCAAACAAACAAGGAGAAGAAAGCAAGACCACCTATCACACTTACGTAGGTGTACGGAGACCAGGCGGCCGAGGCACCCTGCGTGAGGCCGAAAACGAGCAGACCGCATCCGCAGACGGCCAGGGCTGCACCAATGTAGTCAAACTTGCGCGGCGGCCGACTGGTGGCAGCGCCCGACGAGTGCTCGTGAGCACGCATTGCCTTCTCTGTCGGGGCATAGCGTACTGCGGCGACAAGGACGGCGCCCACAATGATCGCATTGCTTCCGAAGACCCAGGGCAGGTGGTCAGAGAGAGCGCCGCCCTGGATGCAGCCCAGCACGAAACCGAAGGGGGAGAGGCTTGCCATGAGCGCAAACACGCGATTTTTGCGGAGGCGTGGCTTATAAACGCGCCCGAGGTAGGACATGGAGGATGAGGTGAGCGCTCCGACGGACAGGCCCTGCATGGCACGCACAATGCAGAAGAGGAGGAAGGACCGAAATGAAAAGATGCCAACAACGCACCACGCGCACATCCAGGTCAGTGCGCCGAGAATCAGCGCACGCGCCCCCCAGATGTCAGCCAAGGATCCGCTGATGGTGACGCTCAGCCCGTTGCTGAGGAGGTAAGCGCCGTTGAGCCAGGGCGCCTGGCTCTTTGGCAGGGAGAAGGTGTGGTCCACCAGCAACGCTTGGACGACTGTCATGTTCCCCAACAGGGAGGCAAAAAGAAATTGCCCCATGGAACAGACGATGATGAAGCTGATCTCCGCAAGTAAGCTGGGCAGCATGCGAGGACGTGCTTGCTGGGAGGCAAGCGCAAGCTGTGCGGGCTCTTCGACCGATGGTGTTACGCTGACAAGCTCTTGACCCAGACTGGCCGACGACCGAGAGGGCAAACTCTGCATCGGCACATCTTGCGGCAATGATGGTGGCTGATGCACCGAGGATTGGTGGCAGGTGTGCAGCGATGGCCTTCGCGCATTTGAGGAAGAGCAGGTGCTCAGGCTGCGATCCAATAAGCCAGTGATGCGAACTGCGGGTTTGGGAGGATAGAGCTCTTGTACGTGGTCTGCCGCACGGATCAGCTCGTGACGAACCCCGGAGTGACTCTCGGAAAGCGTCGAGTGGTCGGCGTTCGTCTCGGGCGGGGTGCTTGCAGGGTGGGACAGGGTAGCGACGGCAAAGTCTGCAGCGCCGTTGTCATCGAAATGGGCGGTTGATCTTGAGTGCGGCTCGAGCTGAAGCGCTGCTGTGGTCATGATTGTGGGTGCTGGCTTGGTCAGATGCAGAGGATGTGTGGGCGTGATCGTGACTCATGCTCTAGCTTGCTTTGTGCAGGTGTTGCAAGTGAAGGAAGGATAGTTCGTTGTTGGCGCATCGGAACGTTAAGATGTAGGGGCAAGGATGTTCGACTTAAAATCCTTTCTCGATGTTTGCCTAGTCGCCGTCCAGAACACCGACCCTATTGCCGTTGCAATGTCTCATCCTTTGGGCTTGCTCTGCAGCGGCTGGTTTGACGGGAGCGTGACTGCAGTGATGTCACCGCCTCACTCCAAAAAAGTCGAGCTTCTCCCTGCCGTGTGGGCTGGCCGCAAAATCAACGCCAAAATCCAGGCCATCTGAAATGCCTTTGCAACAAAGGTTGGATTAAGATGCTACAGCCGGCGCAGCCTGCCCTCTGGCATCTGGCAAGACCTTGTTTTCATTTCGAGCCATGTAGGATCTCGTTATCACTATGCCCCTCATTGGAGTACAAACTTGGCGCTCAACAAGCTCGATGATTGGTCGACACTCTCACGTCAAAGCCTCTCTGCTCTTTTGAAGCAGGGCGATGCCATGATGTTTGCATTAGCAATCACGCTCTTCAGTGCTCGATCAGCTGTCAGCTATGCCAACGTTGGCAGCCTTATTCTCGCCCTTTTCCGCCTCGGGCATCTGACCACCCCTCGAGATCAGTACCACTCCAAGTCCAAGCCTAGACGTGCGTATCATGAGAACCCCGCCTGCCGAGCATAACTTATTCGATCTCTTGTATGCAAATACCGATACAAATGCTCGGGATTGGCTGGAATGCTTTATTCCTGGAACGCTGCCCCGGTGAATTCTCATCGAGTTCTGGGAAGTGATGACGTTCAATTGAAATGGTTCCAGACACCATGCACGACATAACATTAGGAGAAGGGCGAATCCTGGACAGCGTTCTCAAGTGATGCTTTGCAGGTCGAAGTTCACCTGCGTTCAAGCCAGACATAAGGTGTTTCCACACTATCGCAGCGACGTGGTGTCGCTGGCGCCTTTAACCACTAGTGTTGCTCACACCACGCTTGCCAGTTGCCCCACCGCAGGTTTTGGTCCGCATCCCTTTCAGCCGCCTGTTGATAGCGTTACAAGCGAAAAAGTCTCCGAAACGTGGAGAATTGCTAAGCTGGAGACTTTAGGGTCTGCAGTTCAGTGGTTGACGTGGCGGGCCTCGCGTCAAGCGAGCAGGCTCTGCTGCTGAGCTCGAATTCCGCAGGCGTCAGCGCGAGTGTGCGGAGCTCGAAGTCTGTCTTCCGAGTTTCAGCGGAAAGTTCTGGCTCTCCCAAGGCTGATGCTATCTTTCGACGATCAGTGCTTACGATTGGGGAACTGTTTGCAAGGCCATCACCACCCTAAGGATGATTTGTACGACATTCGAAACTACAGAGTTACACAAGCATCACTGGTCATGCTGAACCGCCATGCTAGAAACCTAGTGAGTCAGGACAAGGTTGAATATGGCGATCTGTATGGACTGGGAGAATTCTCAAGTTAGCAACAGCTTCGGGTCATCGTAATTTCTACTACCATTCCTTTTGACAAATGAATGAGCGCGGGGATCGGAAATACATCTCAGAAAGCTGGAGATACCATGAAAAGCGACCAGCGAGGCAGTAGCAGAGAAAATCGGAAGGGGTTTCGGGACATTCTAAGACTACGTGCGGAGGTCAGCCGGGCTGGTCTCGCGGCGCACGGTCGTCGTCATCTTAGTTCAAAGTCGAGCGATGCATAGTGTGCGGCGGTCAATGCGGATACTGCGATATGGATTGCTTAACTATTCACCGCGTGAGCTGACAAACACTAGCATAGCTTGATCGTGTGATGAGGGGAGACCACAAGCGGAGAGCACGAGTGCAGAAGTATCAGAAGCGAGCACGTTTGCGAGTCGTCGAGGCTGACTTGGATGCAGCGCCGGACGATGCGGATGAATGTGGTGTGGGTCGACTTTCCTCTTTGGCTTGACCTCGCTTGATCATTGCGATTTGCTCGCGTCGGCGTCGCTGCTCGTTGCGCAAAGCACTATCCCTGGACGGGCTTGTTTGCGATGATGTTGGGGCAAAAGACGGAGGCGGTGGAGTGTCTTCAGGTGATCTCTCTGGTTCGTCCAAGTCCGACTTTCTCTTTGAGACGTCTGTAATCTCGTTTAGTATCTGGTGCTTTGCCGATGCCTGTCGATCTGTACGTTGTGGCGATGATGATGGCTGCCGTGACGACGGGGTACGCTCGGCCTTACTAGCGATCGGGAGACTCTCTTCCTCCTCGCTTGTGTCTGAACTATCGTCTTCTGGCACAGCAGCAGCCGTATTGCCTCTTGTCCCATCGATTGTCGTGTTTGAAGAGGTGGCGTATGCACCATTTTGAGAGTGAAAGCGTTCTGTGAACGTACGATCACCGTCCTCAAGGTCACCATTTGGGCTGGGCGACGACAGCAGCTCTTCGTTGCTTGTCGTGGCGCGCAATGGCTGGCGGATGCCATTATGCGGATAAGGAGCTTTGAGACCAGGTGGGCCGAAGAAGAGCATATCAGAAGTCAGATCGTCATCGGACTCATCGCTTGTTGAGATCGAAGGCGCACGCGATGGGCTCGACTGCACTCCTTGATTGTCCTGACCGTGAATCAAGAGCGGTTGCAAAGGTCCTATGGGCAGGTGTGCTTGGGTCAAGGCAGCGCGCCGTAGTAGCTCCAACGAGTCCCCTGATATCGTTGCGCTCAATGCCGAATCATTCTTTTGCTGAATGCCGTCAAGCTGCTGTTGAGAGGCTGAGCGAGAAAGCACGGCTGCAAGTCTAAGAAGCGGGCGAACAAAGTGGGAAGATAGAACGTTGGCCAGTGCTGCGTGATCGAGTGGGTCGAGATCAAACGAGGTTTTGAGGTCGCAGTCGCTTGCATCGTTCCTGGACTTGACGCTGATGGACAATGAAGAGGAGAAACGGGTGGATTCGAGGCCTATAGAGGTCTTGAGTGTAGTATCAAGCGCTCTATGCGGGTCGAGTGCATGATGAATCGCTTTCGTAATTGCTGCGAGTCGAACCTCATCTGCGTCCAGATCTGATGCGCCGTCCTGTGGCTGGCCAAGTCGGGTGCGACGGTCGAGAGTGCGAAGGGAGACGCCTTCGTAGAAAGCTGTGCAGGCGTCGCAGTCGAGCAAGAGGAATCCGACCTGTTTACGTTTAGACGAGCGAGCAAGCTTGTAGAGGAAGGGAGCGCTTCGCTCTCGATCGACAGTGGAGCGTAAGGGACGGAACGCAAAGCGGAGATGGGAGCGATCGAGCTCGTGAGACCATTCGAGGAGGTCGACGTCGCCTACATCGTCATCGGCCATCTTCTGGAGTTGTGGTTGCGGGGCAGTGGAGGTGGCCCTATGGGGTTGGCTCTAGAGGCAGGGACCACAGCGCATTCAGCTGCGAGGCATGCTGGGCATTGCGATATCTGTTCAAGCGACGAGCTGAGCGGAGAGAGGCAGTTGGCACCTTGGCGCTGTTAGACGGTTGCGAGCTTTGAGATGATTGCGGAAAGGCAGAAGTTGCTCTACGAAGGGAGCACGAGCAATTGCATTCCGACATTGGACCCTGGATCGTCCCAGCTGCGGATCGGACCGACGCCGACGAGAGAGACAGAGAGAGAGAGCGGAACGCCATCGCCGATTGTGGTTTGGAAAGGAGTGGCTGTCAGATCGAATCCATCAATCGGTGTAAAGCCGAGGTTAGCGAGGATCGACGTCACAGAGTGGCAGGGCACGAGATCAGTGTGATCTACGTCGCGTCGTGGCATGTTTGGCGTATCGCTTTGGGAATGCGCTCTTCCTCTGTCCCTCCAAGAGCGCCAATTTCAGCATCTGAGCAGTGTGATTTGCCTTGTGTGCCGCGTCGATTTGGCAGTTTGTATTCCGCTCATCTCGGCTGTCAAAAGCGGCTTCCCAGGATAGGCATGCTTTGCTGGACCGATGCGTACGCGATCCATCCATCCATCCACCGATCCATCCATCCAGTGATCCGATCTGCTCAGCTCTACATCTTCCCGGAGAACCACCACCCTCGTCAACAACAGGCCCGATTCTCCTCGCAATCTTCCAGCACATCTCGACGATATCCACACACCAGTCGAGCGTAATCCTCGAGAAAGCTCCTGCATCAAAAGCTGCACGAAGATTTGCAAAGCATTTCGCGTTCGCGTGTGCATTCCGGAATTCGGAACGGTCAAGCTAGAAAGCACGAGACACAAGTCAGCCCATATTCAGCTGCATAAGCCTCGTCCCACCTTTTGCAAAGCCGACTCGATTATCGTACCACTTGCCGCTCCAGCTGGCGTCAGCACAAGTCATCGAAAATGGTCACCACAAGGTAAGTTTCGATCAGCGTCAGAGTCGTGCCCAAAAGGGAAGCCAGCATCTCTCGGTCCGAACGGTCAAGCTTCCAGGGCGTCATATAACAAACCTTGTCTCAGGCGCATGCTTGCTGACCTTCCTGCTTTTCCTTTCTTCTCGCTACCTACGCACGCACATCTACTCTTGTAGAGCCCAATCGCAAACACCGCGCAAGTCTAGGGGTCGCGTCTCGTTCCCTGCCGACTCTGCCAGCAACTCGCCCGCGCCGGCAACACCCACGCCTGCTTCTCGATCCACCTCATCGCGTAGCTCTCCCACCAAGCGTGCTTCCGCATCGTCCACCTCGACTCCTTCATCGCCTGCCGTGCGCCGACGCAAATCCTCCGTCATGAGCCAGAAATCGCTCTCCAAGGAGCAGCTCGGCCCCAAGACCAAGCACTACGAGTTTGCTGGACCGTTTGGCGCCGCCTTTGTCTCGCTCACGGTGCCTTTCTTCTCCTACTATCTCTACTTTGGTTGCTCCGAGAAGCTCGGCTGCGACCTCACGTTGCCCTTGCAAAGCCCCGATGCGCTTCGCTCCCTCTTTGTTCAAGGTGTCAAGGACAGCCTGTTCGACACCACCGCCTGGGCGCTCTACGCAGCATGGTACGCCTTCACGGTGATCGCGTGGATTGTGCTACCGGGCAAGGACTTTGAAGGAACAGAGCTCCGAACCGGTCAGCGCCTCCACTACAAGCTCAACGCCTTTGCTACGTTTGTCCTTGTCGTCGCCGCATCGGCGGGTTACATCTTCTACAACGGGCCCGAGAGCTTCACCATCTTCTACCAGCACTGGCCCGGTCTCGTCTCTGCTGCGCTCTTCAACTCGTTCGCTCAGGCGGTCTACTGCTACCTCAGCTCGTTCGGCGAGGGCAAGCTGCTGGCTCTCGGCGGCAACTCGGGCAACGTGCTGTACGACTGGTTCATCGGCCGCGAGCTCAACCCTCGTATCGGCAACTTTGATATCAAGTCGTTCAACGAGCTCCGACCTGGCTTGATCCTCTGGGCCATCCTCGACATCAGCTGCGCCTGCCAACAGTACGTGCAGCTCAATGGTCGCGTCACGGACAGCATGGTGCTCGTGTGCGCCTTCCACCTCTGGTACGTCGCCGACGCCCTCTTCATGGAGTCGGCCATCTTCTCCACCATGGACATCACCACCGATGGCTTTGGCTTCATGCTCTCGGTCGGCGACCTGGTTTGGGTGCCGTTCGTTTACAGTCTCCAGGCGCGCTACCTCGCCTTCCGTCCCGTCCACCTCGGTATCGCCGGCACCGCCGCCATCATCGGTGTCAACCTCGTCGGATACTACATCTTCCGCGAGGCCAATTCGGAGAAGAACCAGTTCCGAAACGGCACCAACCCCAAGAACTTGAAGTACATGACCACTTCGACCGGACGCAAGCTCTTGACCTCGGGCTGGTGGGGACGTTCGCGACACCCCAACTATCTCGGCGACTGGATCATGGCCTGGGCTTGGTCGCTCCCCTGTGGCTTCGCTACGCCGATCCCGTACTTTTACGTCGCCTACTTTGCCGTCCTGCTTGTGCACCGACAGCTGCGAGACGACGAGGCATGCCAGAAGAAGTACGGCAAGGATTGGGACAAGTACTGCAAGCTCGTCCGCAGCCGTATCATTCCCGGTATCTATTGAAGAGATCGTCACGCACGGGTGGGATTGTCTCGGGCGAATCGTAAACGATGGCTCCCTTGAAGTTCCTTCTAGGTGACTCTGGATATGCGAAGCATCTTCACTCGAACCTACCTTTTGCTGCTCACTTTTGTATGCGACAAAGATGCTGCTATCTTTTGCTCTGGGCACTGTCCTCCCCTTTTCATTGTGTATTGTACCCGATTGAAGGATACTAGATTGCTTTCTGATTTATTGCCGCTGCTAATGTGTGACTGTGCGAATGGCAAGACGATGAAGATGCGGCGCAAGAACACCTCGATGGGAAAGTGACCGATGTTAGATCCATAAACGAATACAGCTAGAATCGATCTGCTCGATTCGAAGGCCCGATTGCAACCTTCCATGTTTGGTGGCACAGTGAGCGTGCACGGGCTGAAACGCATGTCGCGGTCAAGTGGAACCATCAAAAAGTGAAAGGAAACGACACTTCTTCCAGCTCCGTCGTATCTTCGTCTCTGCCGTCAAGTCGATTCAGTCTCGTCACCTCACCTCACTTGAGTCTCGACGAGCACTATGAGCTGCTCGCACATGCTATCTCTCCTTCTGGTGGCACTGACCACCTTGCTATCGACGGCGTTGGCCGGTCAAGACTTCCGTGGCCAGATTCAACCCAACGCCGAGCTGGGCCACTTGCTCAACCTTGGACCCAATACACGCGTCCTCCTACACGCCATCCCGCCCGAGTCCCCAAATGTAGCCGCTGATGACGCCGGATCAGCCTCTACAGACAACAAAGAATCGTCTGACCTCGCAACTTTTGGTCAGCGACGGGATCGTTCCACACTCGTCGCCGTAGACGGCAGCTTCATCTTCCGCGATCTGGCACAGGGCGCCTACACGCTCGAGATTGTCTCACGGACGCATAGCTTCGAGCAATACCGCATCGATATCCTCGATCCGGCGCTTGGCAAAGCACCTCAGATCCGCATCTTTACACCGTAAGTAGTCCGAATTTTGCTGATCACGTCGCAGCGGAGCCCGCCTGGCCACCTCGACGGCATCCCATGCCACTGTACTGTCAACGGCAAACACTGACAAGCATCGCTCTCTCTCCGATTTTGCGAGCCTCCAGTGGCACATCACTCGTCTCGATCCTATCGGCGAATCCGATCTTCCACCCGCTTATTCTCCACTCCACCAAGCGTATCGACTACTTTACCGAGGCAGCGCCTCTGACCATCGGCTCGCTTATCGGCATGGGCGGGCCCATGATGATCCTCGGTCTCGTTGGCATGGGTATGGTGTTCCTCATGCCAAAGCTCACCGCCACGCTCGATCCAGATGCACAGAAGGAGCTGGCCGAGTCGCAGAAGCGCATACAGAAACGCTTCGCCGCCGTCCAGTCAGGCGACGTGTCGAGCCTATTGTCTAACGACGATCAAGCCAAGAAGAACCAGGAACGAGGAAAAGCCGCAAGATAGTCAGATGCGCCGCACGACACGGGCTCTTGCTCACAAAATGTCCGCTGCGGTCGCCCTCACATTAACAATACCATCGCATTGCACCTTTCTGAGTCTACACCATCGGTAAGCGCGTTCCACCTCGGCTCGCATCTTGCTGCGTTGGCTGCAACGAACCAACTAGGCTTTGCGATTCCGCATTCCCAGCCAGCAGATATCTGAGTGCAAAGATGGCATGTTCTCGCATGTCTGTGTCGTATTTAAGAAAAGGGTAAGCGTACTGGTCGGATCAACAATCATCGACAACATCGCATAGGATGCACATCAGACTTACAGGGATTACGCTCGTCCAGCACCGTCATGTTGAGGACGTGGAACAGTCCACCTTTTTCTCTGACACGATCTTGTACTTCCCGGATTTGATCCTTCGTATGCGTTGACTGATGGGCATCGACGCCATTCTGGTCGCTCGAGGAAGCATCTGCATCACTTTTGGCAGCACGCGTCGGCGCGTACACCAGTGAGCCGAGTACTCGTACGATGTCGCGTTTCAGGTGGTCAAAGCCGTAGCTCGGTTGGGCATCTTTGGCTTCGTGAGCAGCTCGACCGGTGGATGACAGCGCGTGACCTTGCGGAAGTGGCCGTTGCTCATCGGTCTCGGATGAATCTGTTCCGTCGGTCGCTGCACCTGCGCGCCGGAAAGGAGACAACGCGGGGGCGTACTGGTGCGTTTCGTCGAGAAGCTCCACCAGCTCGTCAACGAATTCGTGATTGCTACGCATCTGTGACAACAGAGCACGCGCGACATCGACAAAGCTTCGCGTCGAATGTGCCGTTGCAGATGAGAATGTGCCTTCGTCACTCCACCCGTCGGCAGTCATGCCTATGGACAGAAGACTCTGCAAGAGCAAAAGCAGGCCATGGTGGACGCCGATAAGCCTTCGATCCTGCGGCTGCTGATCCGGCGATGTGCCATTTCTGGCTATTCCGCGCGCCATGGCACTGCGGGCAAAGCGGGATAGGCTCAAGAAAGCGTCGAGTAGGCCTGCAAGGCCTGCTTTTCTGAGTAACTTGGCTTCGACGTTACTAAAGCTTGATGGTGCTTCCAAAAACTCGAGAACCCGTGGAGAAGCGCCTTGCTCTGTCGAAGCGGAGGCTGTCTCGGCCACCAGCTTTTGCTGAAGGTGGAGCCAGCTGTCGAGCAGCTTGAGGAGAGTAAGCTGCGAGCTTGAGATGACCGGGAGATCAGATTCTGAAGGAGACGAGTGCGACGAAGAGATCTCGTCAATCGGTGCGAGTGAAGACAGGACGAGTGAAGTGCAACCACGTTCGAAGAGCGTGGCAAAGATGGTGTACACGAAGCCGAGTGATTCTACGAGTCCCTGGATCTCGGAGTCCGGCTCTTGTTCCTGGACAGGCTCGTCTGGCTTCGCTGAGGCGGTCCGTAGCATGATGCTCTCAGAGGTGCTGAGCAGCGATTCGACAAGCTGTCGACCTGCGACTGACGTACATAACTCGTAGCAGCGCTCGTGAGCGTCCTGATTCCACGAGGGCGTTCGAAGAAAGTTGATGAGCAAGATCTGCGCTGCACTCTGCGTCGCCGTGTCCGGCGATGAAAGGAACTTGAGCGAGAGCCTTTCTTGTTCCCTTGGGGCAGCGACGATGCGAGGCCACATTTGACGCTGAACCTGGCGATTGGCGGTGATGAGGTTGGACAGCATCTGCACTGCCGATCGAGCTAAGAGCGTTGCATCGGGATCGTTCAGGGTGTGGTAGCGCGTAATATTGTCCAGGAAGGGGGCCAGCACATCGAAACGTTGGCACAAACGATCCTGGGCGTCAGAGCAACCTGCCATAGCATTGCGAATGACGCGAAACAAAAGGGTTGCGATACCACACGCGCGCTGATACGGATGTTTGAGCGTGTCCTGGTGATCGGCGGGCGTTTCTCTGAGATCATCCCTGACGGCATCCTGATCTCGGAGCTTGGGTGACGGTGGGCGAACTTCTTGACTCTGTTGAAAGAGCGGGAAGAAAGCGGCGAGGGCTTCTATCACAGTGGAAAAGTCGGGCGAGGTAGCAAAAAGGGTCCGTTTTGATTCATCGCGCACAAGGCGCTGACTGAAGTGGGTGAGATGCGCTTCCAGATGCTGATAAGAATCGACTCCGTCTGCCGCCTGCTCTACGGATGGAAAGCCAGAGGATGCCAGGGTCTTGTACTGTTCGAGCAGGTCAAGCAGCAGCTTTCCATCTGCTACCTCCGCAATTCCGCTGCCATCAGCTGTGAATGCCATGGCTGATGAGCCATCCGTCCAACGAAGAGGGAAAGGCGCTGTCCGGAATGCCGTAGGTGAGGGAGTGGAAGTCGGTGTGGTCGTGTCAGGGTCCTTCTTTGGCTTCAACAAGAAAGAAAAAAGTGGAGCAAGCCGACGACACAATTCGGGAGTCGGACTGCTTCAGTTCAGACTATGTTAGGTTGGCGTACGGCAACGTCGAAAAGCGCATTCCATCTCGACGCTGGCATCGTGACAGTGCAGACCGAGAGCGACATGGAGGCAACCGATGGATGCACAAGACTCTGATGATTGGTGAGCTCAAGGCCAAGCTTTGCATCGAGTTGGACTTCGGAGGCATACGCTGCAAACACTTTGCCGGCATTCCGTCACCAACGCAAACGGAACGACAACGACCTACGCTTGACTAGATGTCGCGGTAGTCAGGCCGCTGTGTGTCAGTGTGAGGGCCAAAAGCAGTTTCTGCAGCGTGTTTGCAAACATTTTACGGTCGGACACCTTTTCGAGCGCAAAGTCGTTGATCACACACGATACGGTAGGTTTGGAATGGTGACATCGATGCTGTGCTACAACTATAATCAGCCACATTACGGATCCGCGCTGACCCAACCCGTTCACCTGAAACGGCCATCAGGCTTGAAATAGGGGCTCTTGGGTGGTGAGACACGAGCATTCTTAATACGTCATGTTTTCGGAGGTAAAAGGATGGACAAGGAACGACCATCGAGCGCCGTTTAGCACTTGCCGCTCTTGCAGTAAGCCGACGAGTCGGTGATGTAGGTGGGGTCCTGCTGACCACCATAGTTGGTGGCCTTGTCAGTACCCGAGCAGGCCTTGTACAGGGCGCACGTGAGGTTGCCCTTGGTGTACTTGGACTGAGCAGAGGGGGGTAGTTCGCTCACATCCGAAGACTGCGAAGCGTTGTCCTGGTACAGGTTGACAAACACGCAGCCGGAGGTCTGGTCGCAAGCCTGCAAGCACTTGTCGAGCGAGTCAGTGAGGATGTAGGTGAGGTAGTTCTCGTTGTCAATCGTTGCAGCGCCCACCTTCTGGCCTTTGTATACGCCCGAGTCGGCAACTGTCTGGTAGTCCTTGTAGGTCTGCTCGTACTTGCCAGAGCAAGTCACGCCACCAGAGCCAGAGCCAGAGCCAGAGCCAGAGCCAGAGCCAGAGCCAGAGCCAGAGCCGGAGCCAGAGCCGGAACCAGAGCCGGAACCAGAGCCAGAGCCAGAGCCAGAGCCAGGCGGGGGCTTGGGCTTGTTGCCGTCACGGCAGAAGGGGGTCCACCAGTTCCAGAAGTACTTGCATTTGGCCTTGTCGCCTCCATCCCACTGGGGGATGCCGGGTGCCGAGCAACCCAGCGAGAAGGAAGGAAGCGAAGCGTGCTTCCAAGGAGCAATGCAAGACCAGTCAGCGGGGTTCAAGTCGAAGTGTTTGAACAGTAGGCCAAAGGTACGCGCCTCAAGCGCCTCACGGCCCTCGACCGGCGAGGCAGTGGCGTAGTGAGCGGCGCCGAGTGCGGCGACGAAAGCGATGTTGGTGATCTTGACCATCTTGATGACTTCGAAGGGTGATTGCAGCGGAAGAGCAGCGGTTGATCGCGTAGGGATGAAGGAATCCAGAAAAAACAAGGGAGGACGACTCGTTGGATGACGGAAGGGGGGTGGATCAGACGTGAACGGGACCGATTATATAGACGATGGGCCTGCCGTCTCTTGTCCGTGTTATCGCACCGCGAATCATGACGAAGCTCAAGGCGCTTGCGGGTTCATCCTACTTCTGGCCTTACCCTCTGTTTTGCCGCTCGGAATAGGTCTAGACTGTGCTGGGCTGGAAGCCGATCAGACGGGCATCCATGGTTTCGCCGGTCTTCTCGCCGTGCCCCAGCGTTGAGTGCCTTGTGTCCGAGGCTAGCGTAATTGGACTGACAGATGGGTAGCGCAATATCCGCAAGCACAGCCGCTCAACATTGCAGCGCACCTCACGCACAGCTGGGGCTAGCTGGCCTTGAAGCATGGGCCGTCAACGGTATTCGCCAAGCGAAGGTGAGCGATGAGCAAGGAGAGCATATCAATTCGGCGACCCGCTCCCACCCGCTCCCAGCCGCCGTGAGCTCGCCGACAAGGAAGCGACAAACCTTCCTACGACCCGAGCAGGCTTTCCGAGACTCCGATCCACAAGGTGTTGAGCCTGTATCCAGGTACTGTAGGCCCTGCGCAGCTCCTCTTCTCAGGCCTGACCAAGTGAATCCAGACACCAATATCGTCGGTAGTAGGCTCGTGCTCGGGCCCGCGTTTAAAACATATGAGACTGACTTTGCCAAGAGTTCGTATGTATGTCTCTGCCGGACCAGCGCGGCGCAACCTTGATCCTCCAATACGATCCTGGGTGGTCGCTACTTTGACATGCATCCAATTGGATCAGTCTCCTCTTTAAACGCCGCAATCGATCTCTGATTTTTCTCATTTTTCCTGGCCGTAACTTGACCTTTCCTGCCCGTCGACAAAATGATGTCTTTGAACCTCTGGAAGGCGGTTTTCTTTCTTGCATCGAGGGGTGATGAATGCTCTGGTCAACTTGTCCGTTGAGATTCGCTAGAATGTCTCTGTTTCAGATCGTGCACCGGACACCGTACCTCGGTCCGGACGAGCGTAATCCGCTGTTTGTTGCACAGCAACCAGGTTCTCGCAGTTTCGCTCCTGCCTGGTGTGCTTAGAGTTCCTAACTTCATTGCAGTTTCGGAGGCCCATCAAGCAGGCACATATCATTTAGAATCTTTTGTCCCGGAAGTCGAGTACAGGAACTGATCTGAGATTGTCTAGCATAACGCCACCGGCAATGTCTTGGCAGAGCCGTGCACAATCATTTCTTCTCGATCACGGTGAGTCTGCGAACAACTTTGTCGCACGAACCTCTTCAATTTTAGCGACAGCACTTTGACTACCTTCCGGACCACGACCTCATGGCAAAGCTCGCTACATGCTGACTAGAACCATGTGCGCACCCGAGACACGGGTCAGAGAGTGGGCGAGAGTCTAGCTCGGCAGTCCAGACGGCCTTGCTGCGACGCCTCGGTGCAGATCAATGCACGGGCGTGGGAAGGGTCGAACCAACAAACAATCAGACAAGGGCGTAATTCAAGCTCCGAAAAACTCTGGTACATGACCGAGCGTTCAGCCAGGATGTCTCGCTATTTCAGAGCAGACTACGACAGCGTAGATCCTGGATGCTTCGGCGGCTACTGTACGGGGGTACTAAGAAGTGCATCTTGCCGATGACACAAGCGTCCGTACGCCGGAAGGCGTGCACTGCCAACTGTGCCAAAGCCTCGCAGAGCTACTTGCAGCACGGACCGGCTTCTCGAGACAGAGTCATAGAGCTTTGCACTCCGACGACCGGGAGAGAATTCTCAACCAAGGCGGAAACGTCACCCCACGTCGAACACGCGGGGTCGTCGATCTTAGTGCGCCACAGCTTCGGATCCAGGTTACAGGATTTCCCGGCAGCCCGTGAACCCGAGACATTTTCCCACATATCTCGGAGCTGAAGTCGCTAATTCTTCAAATAATATTTTTTCTAATCTACGTGAAGATCTGCGTCGGTCGGTGTATATCGCTTCTCTGCGTTGCGAGCCCGTCAGTGCCAGTACCGTCCCAACGTTTGCGTGTAGTTTCGGGCCAGGCTTGCCCTTTGACCCAGCTCGGAAAGAGTAGGACGCCAAGCCCATAAAGGCAGATCCCGGAACGAAAAGGCTTGGAAAAGCGTGCTGCAGGTCACAGAAGACAAATCATTTGCGAATCTGGGTTTCTTACCCTCCGCAATGGCAACTTACCGCCTAAGTTGCTCGCCTCGGTTTATTGGAAGATCTTCTTTGAAACTTTCATTATTTCTAATGACGGCTTTGGGCCTCGTTGATGACCATGGCCCGAGCATCAGGCTTTGCTTACATCGTCGATCGCAAAGCATCCAGACCCAAACACACTGCCGAGTCTCATGCCGAAAGATCGTGCTAGCTGTCGAACACCGACTGGAAGAGAAATGATTGGACGAGAGGGTTCGAAGTGTTCGTATTGAGAGCTACGTTGCGAGCTACCGTAGACGCACTCCGTTGACGGCAAATTCAAGCAAGCTGAGCCCTTGAGAAGAGCGCAGACTGAGATTCAACGTCATCAAAGAGCTTGAGGTGACAAGATACAATCAGAGAGGGACGATTTAGCAAGCTACTTGAATCTATCAGAACGAGAATCGGAGGAGCGCGGGATTGAGCACGATGGGGTAGAGGATGTGCAAGATCGCCAAGAGAAGAACCGGCCAGTAGATGAAGAATCCCTGAATCTGCCACTGGAGCGGAACAACGTCCGGCAACTGCATCACTATCACAGTGGCGATGGTGGCACCGGCAAGCACAAGGACCTTCCAGAACTTTTTGAAAATGAGCGGCACCTCGATGAAGAAGTTGCTGTCGTCCAAGTCCTTGATGGTAGCACCCCAGGTCATGTTGATCCCCACGGGATGTGACAGGAGGGCTGTCAAGACGTGGTAAGATATTCCACCGAAGAAGATGAACATATAGGGCATCCAGATGACGTGCTCCTTAATGAGTCTGAAGAGACCTCCAGCTTTGGAACGGTACCGAGCCACAACCTGAGCTACATTTCCTCCTGCCGTGAAGACGACGACCACCGCAACCCAAATCTGGAAAGGCGGCAAGAAGGCCGGGACCAGCACGGGATCGAGCCATCCTTGGACAAAGTAGAGAGCAAGTGCCATAGGGAAAGCGCAGGCGATAGCGTAGTAGGAGAAAATGTAGGAACTCGCCGAAAACTTGTAGTGGATGGGGGCGCTGCACCCCAAGAAGGTCCTGAAGAGCTTTGTCAAGGGACTGCGGAACGGCCACTGCCAGATACGGTGGAAGACGAGCTCAGAGCAGCCGAAGGCATACTTCTGCCATCTGTTGATCTCGTCATCGCAAGTGAGGGATACGCCCTCCTGGAAGCCATTGTCTGAATAAGTGGCCCATCGAGTGATGTAGCCGCTCATCAGCAGACGTAGAGCCATATCGAAGTCCTCGGAAACGTGCGATTCGGACCAGATCTTTCGAACTCCGTCTTCTTCGTCGACAAACGACGCCTCTTGCATCGCTGACCAGCGGAGGAAGGCGTTGTGTCCCATGAAAGGTGCAACGTCTCCGGCCGCAACTGCGTACGAGATGCTGAAGTTGACGAGTCGGGTGAAGAAAGAGATGCCTCGCTCAAAGTAGCTGTCCGAGACGATCATTACGCCCGAGCAATGCTGCAGAACACCGACTTCAGGGCACTGTACCATCTCAGACGCGGCATCGAGCAAGCAGTCCTCTGGTACTCGCGTGTCGGAGTCGATCAAGAGAATGAGGTCGCCAATGCGGACATTGCCTCTGGCTTGAGCGAGTGGATGAAGCTCTGGCAGACATTGCTCCAGACACCGCTCGTAGAGGTTGTTCTCATCGGCCTCAGTCCAGAGGGCAAGCTCTCCTGGCGTCTGAGGTCGTGTCTCGGACATCATCGTTTCGACAGCGAGGGAAAGGTGACAGGTAAAGTTGAGGTTCGAGGCCTTCTTGAAGCGACCCTTTCGCACAAACCCGTCGGTGCCGTGCCCAGGTCGGGCCACCCACCCGATGTTGTTCATCTCGTAAAAATCTTCTCGAACAGCCCTTTGCTCCTCAGAGATGAGCTGTATGCCGTCCTCCGAGACGATGATCGATGCCGTGCCACCCTGGAGCTCGTAGGTACTGATGGCCTTCTTGATTGACTCGATCGTTGGAATCAGCACACCTTCCATCGACTCCTTGTAGACCGGCATCTGAATGGTAATGTGGGGCAATTGACCCGAGATCCGGGTAGGCGGTTTGCCCGAGAAGTATCGAGAGTTCTGGTGGAGCTGACGAATGGGAGCCAGGATTTGAAAGATGACTCCGACGACGTTGTCACAGAAGAACAGGATGACCGGAAAGATCAACAAGGTGACCGCCGCCAGGCCCATGCGCTTCCACTGGCCGTCGATGAGCGAGTATTGGAAGAGCCTTGAGATGAACAAAAAGCACAAGACGATGTCGAGTCCGACCGCCAGTCCATGTTGGAGCGCAGCCTGGCAGTTCGATTGTCTCACTTCGGTCTCGGGCTGCAGCTGCTTCTCGGGATCGCTTGGATTCGGGGCGATCCATCGGGGCGAATCGGAAGAAGCAGAGGATGCTGGCGAGTCCTGAGCAATACGGCGATCCCCAAATGGATCCGAGCGATCGCTAGATGGGGTTAGGGCACCGTGGCCGTGGAGTGAGATGCCGTGTCCATGAGAAGACGCAGAACGAATTCGCGCTTGGCTCTGGTTGAATCGACCCACGGAATCTTCGGCGACCCTTGCGGTGCCTTGAGCAGGAGGCATACCAGCGCTGTTGCCTTTGACTGAGCTCTTCCAAATAAACTCGATCATCTTTCCCTCGAGGTCTTGAGCTCGCTCTTCGAGCTTTTCGACTTGGTCGCACCAGACCACCACGGCATTTTCTCGGCGAATGAAGCAAGCGTGTTGAGCTTTCCTCGCTCCCGCGAGCTGCTCCATGGTCTCGACGACTTGAATGTGCTGAGAGGGTGTGATAGGTATCTGCTCCGTACCCGGAGCCAGACGGGTGCAGATAGCCGAGACCACAGGAGATGTGATGGTCATGGCAGCCTCGCAATTGAGGATGGCAACGGCATGGCAAAACTTCGAGAGCCTGTCATCTTCGGCGGGACAGACCACATACCGGCCCTTGGCGAAGCGGATAGTGACACCACTTGGAATCTCTGGATCTTCCGAAAAGAAGCTGCGTCGGTTGCATGACTTCCAGAGGTGAGCAGCCATGACTTGATAACCATCGCGAGCATCGATCCAAAGATCGTCGTCCGACGATTTCTCGAACATTTCGGAGTTGAGGGACTGAGCGTACTCGGTCAGTGGAGCTCCTCGCTGCTCGCTCATAGGATGAGGCGAATCAAACGAGTCCGCCGTTTGCCGGGCGGGCAGATGCTCTTTCTTGTTGTTGCGGAGGAAGCTTAACATTTTGAGCACTGACAGCAGGTAGCGACACCAATTTGCTGGGTTGGACGCAGATCAGCGGGACCAAAAGACCGTGTCGGATCTTGAAGAGGCTGAAAGCGATCGCCTGGCGGGGTTCGTTTCCACTGTTCAGAACAGGTGCTTCAAGTCCTGCGAGCAGGCAGTGGAGAATATGAAAATGATGAGGTTGAGGATGCGGAAGAGGATGAGGACGGTGTATATCGCCAGAAGTAGTGAGATGGAATCTACGATCCTACAACCGAACGGAAGTCGTGCGCATTTAAAGAAAAGGGACCAAGGGCGATGAACGTCGAGGAGGGACGAACATTCTGCAAACGAGCTCGAAACCCCTGTCCTCAGCCCACCACAGGCACCAGTCCGAATGCTGAATGCGCTTGAGAGCCTGGCAAGCAAGCTCCCAAGTGGGGTACCCAGGTGCAAGAGAACGTCGCGGCTATCTAACACCATTTCGGGGCACAGATCACATCGCATACGACGGCGATTGGTCACCGCACGTTCCAAGGCTGCTCAAGGCCTCGTCAGTGATCTTGACAGGCTTGAAATGTCTTTGCTCGACCGAGATCCTATCAGACTGAGAACGAAAAGCAAATCCAGAGCTCGGGTACGGCTTCTACTCTGAATTGGTGGGCGAGAACCTCTACCCAGATCCTGCTGCTCCGGAAACTTGGTTTAAAAAAACGCTCACAAGTTTCCTTTTTGGCATGGGAAGGGAACAAATCTTCTAGTGGGAGATAAGCAAACCTGTCGGCGTACCGCGATGCTTCTTCCTCCCTCATCTTGGACGATCGAAATTCCATACGACTCAGAAAGTTGTCTCCATTCGAAACGAGCTAAGGAGCCATTGTCTCCTGCGTGTGTGTGAGAAGGCGCTGACGAGCACCCCGTTTCAGATCGTCGTCGCAATTGCGTGACGTGCTGCAACTGCAATCGAGCCTCTCTCATCTTTCTTGGTCGCATCAGCGCAGCTCTCGATCGTACGTTCGTCGATGAAAATCTGCGGCTCTTCTCTAACGATATTGCTCCAACGTGAGCCTGCCATCGTACGAGGCCCGTTGAAGAAGTTGCACTCGATGTCCCTCGTGCCGGTCTTTTGCACGGAATGAGCTACTATTCTTTTCCTGATATTCCTTTGCAAGGCACAAAATGAACCGTTTGGCGTAGTCAACGTCTCGGTGCCTAGTCCGAATTCAGTTGTACACAAAGCCTTGTATCTGGACTTCATCACATGAGGAAGGTTAGTGTGAAGTTTCGGACAGACATGTCAGTTGTAGAGTGCAGGAAAACAGGCTCGAAGTTGATTTGCTCTTTGCCGATTGGGACAGGTCCGTTCTGAGCGGTAGTGTGTGAAATTGCCAAGAAAACTGGGTCATTGGTGCAAGAGGTGCACCGAGTGAGATTTCTCGCTCCGATGTCGAGACTGTGGGCTGAATCTCGCAGGCGTCAGGAAAGCAGCCCGGCCTTGGCGGACAGGAGCATACTTTTAGTCGTCAGCTAACGTGTGGTCGAGCTTTGCAGGCTTTTTAGGGTTCGATACTTCGCGAGCTCCGTCGGCGGGGAAGGCGTCGCTAGGTTCGCAATAACGAAAACCCAGAAATTGGTACGGCGGAAATCGGTCGACCGCGCGCTTCTTTTTTTGTGGCATGCTAACAAACAGGCGCCACACGCAGAAAAATGTCTTGGGCGTGCAATGACTCAGCAAACAAATCTGTTCTGAAGCGAGATACGCTCGACGGAAATCCGTTATGCCGCTGTCAAAATCATGTGTAGAAGAGAATGAGACGGCCAACCGAGACCAACTGCAGGATCAAGACACCACACAAACGCCACAAGCAGAAAATCACATCTGGGCGTAATTCGGCAAATGGATCTATCTGCCCTTAAGCGAGATACTAACGACCGATCCGCTCTGCCGCTCTCAAAATCATGCTAAGGTGAGAACGAGACGCCGAACCGAGATCAACTGCAGGAACAAAACCTCAACTCTGGCTGTACATCCGAGTTCATGAGAGCCGACACAGGGCAACACTCGGTCCGTCCACCTTCGCACTGATCCTCTGACGAACAGGAGGATACCAAGCGCTTGTCGCCAGCTACAATCGTTACGTAAAAGTTCAACTCCATTCGCCCAAGGCCGCCGTCAGTAAGGACAGATGTGCCAGCGATGGTGAGTTCGAGTGTTCTCGCTTATCGCGCAAACGATTCCTTGACACCCACAACGCGTTGCGCTGCTGTCGATCCGATACATCCGCTCATCGTGATTCCGACTCCATCGCGTCGTCGCAACGAGCTGCCAAAGGGAAGCGTACATTCAATTCTTCAGGCACGGTCCGGATAGGTTGGATGTCTCGGGCCTGTCGCAACCCCGATCAGGGAAGACTGCGCACTTTAATATTTAATTAAAAAGACCAGGAAATACTGTACACTGTGCAAAAAGGATTTACTGCAGAAAGAGAAAACAATAAGTCTCTGAGGGCACATCGTCGTCTGATGAACTTGTTTAGCCGGAATTTGGAAGCGGTTGATGAAATTGGATTGTCCCCGATCGTCTCACTTTATTCTGGAACTGATCGGGCCCGTCGGGCTCACAACTCTGCAGTCCCGGTCCCATTTCACGAGCTGTTTCCCTGATCGCATGAGCTCGAGCCTTCGAGATGATGCGACGAACAAGCCTCCGGACTCGCTTGGCTATGCAGGCTCACCCAAATTGTGTCGACCCGAGCCTGAAATGGGGCGGCGATGATGGGCTACGAACTCCCTATCGACCCAAATCAACGTGGCGAGAATGAGAATTGGGTTCGGATTGTTTCACATTTATCTCACGCCCAATTTTTATGCGCTACTGCGCGGCATGACTTTGCGACGAAAGTGCTTTCCCTTGTCGTGCCAGCAAAGAGATCGAAGCGCAGAGCCCAGCCATGCCCATGGTCGGGTTCGTGCCTAGCGTCCGTGCACATCACGGCGACGACACGACCCTAAACGAATGCTTCAGCAGGTGGCGCTGTTTCGCGACTCAAGCCGGGCATCACATTAGCGAGTTACCAAGCGACAACGAGCTGCCGAGACCCGCTGCCTCATAGTAACCGCGCATGTCTTTGGTTTGGTCGGCGCGACTTTGATCGTTGGACACCTGCCTCTTGGCATCAACTAGACCTTCTTGCACAGGCATTGTCCGTTTCGGAGGTTTATTCTCGAAGGTCACAGCGTGTCAGAATGCAGGACCGCTGGCATGTCTAGAGACAAGCAACGATGTAAGTCGTGTCCTTGATTCGAGCTCGAGGATGCGCATCGCAGTCTTGATCTCGACCTGGCCGACACAAAGCGAGTGCTTTTGACCACCTCTACCTGAGAGGGCGGAAGGCATGTGTTGTGAAACCGGAGATCGGTGAGGCCGGAGCCCGAGATGAGCTCACCTGATTGTAGACGGGGCCACAAAAAAAGAACGCCGATATTACATGGGTACGCTGCCTGTTTCCGACATGATTGCTACACGATCCCGTCGTTCAAAATGTGTCGGCTTTTAAATTTTGAGCCTGAGGTGCCAGGTCACACCCCAGAAAATCCACGGCGCAAGGCGCCTCCGAACGTGGGAGAAGCGATCATCCGTTCCGGCGCGAAAAGAAGCCAGTAAGCGAAACAAATGGGTCTGCTGTCAGGAACTCAGTGTCTGGAACATCTTGCAAATCTCGTCGCAGTTTCACTGATCAGAAAGTGGGCCTATTTTAGTCTTCGGAATCTTTTCATTGCCGAGGAAGCGATCGCGACCAGGCAGTTCTTTATCAGTATCCGAGCATGCTAAGGCTCGGCAAACGGATCGACGCTTGATGCCGGCCATGCATTTCCGTTATCCAGGACCCTTGGTTGCTCATGGGTGCCCTATCTGGCATGTTTCTCCGAGACCGAGACTTTGTGAGAAGTTCGATTCTCGATAATGAATGGCGGTCACCAGAATGCAGGCTGCTGGACGCCGCCAATCCATGAACTTGACGTGGCTACGACATAGTCACCGCCGTAAACAGAGATGTCTAGCTGTTGCCAAGCGCCGAACCTTCACTTTGACGATTCTCCGACGCATGCCCTTTGAGCCATGGGATTTGTGCTCTGCATCTTCGATCAAGTTTCCCTCATAATCTCGTACCCCCAATCCGCTTCACCTCACCTCGACCCCCAAACCACTTCTCCTCGACGGCAATCGGTCCCATTCTAACAGCAGCAAGAAGTCGTTCTCCTTTGACCTGTACAAGAACCCAACCCAAGAACCTAATACTTGTCAACGCAAAATGAGTAGCACTTCCGTGCTGCCACCCCGCGCCTCGGCGGAAGAAGAGATGGAGCAGCTGCAGGACCTTCCTGACGGAAGCGGTCAGATCTCTCCGGCCGGCAGCGTCTCGAAAGGCTCTTTCCTGGCGTCTCACAGCCGCCAGAATAGCTCTAGAACAAACTCTGCCAGCCAGATCTCTCCAGTCATGAGCCCCAGCGACTCGCTTCGCAGCTACGTCTCCAGTCCTGCTGGAAGTATGTCCAACCTTTCCCGGCAGGTCTACCTGATGGGCCAGCAAAATCCCGACTCGAGATGGACCGGCGATCTGGGATCGATGCCAGTCCTTAATGGCCGAGACTACGAGACATTTGTGGCCAACTCGAGTGGCCACGCGACCAGCTCGGTGCACAGCCATTCGGGCGTGATGACTCCAGCAGCAGGCTTCTTTGAGGCCCCTACCGACTCATACTTCGGCAACGCAGCGCTCAGGTACCGCAAACCGTTTGCACAGCGTGTGCTCAGGCCGGGCGAGACGGTCGAAAAGCCTTGGCTGGAAGACAAGCAGCGCAAATCCTCCGACCGAAAGGCGTACTGGATCTTCATCGTTGGCGTTTCGCTCGGCTTGATCGGAGCCGCGTTGCTGATGTACTTTGCCCATGCAGCTGTCCCCAGGGACAAGTACTGCCTTGTCTTGAACGAGCAGTTCGAGGGCAGCACGATCAACAAGGACATCTGGTTCCACGAGATCGAGTCCGGCGGCTTTGGCAACGGGCAATTCGAATGGACCACCGACTCATCCAACAACTCGTTTGTTGAGGACGGAAAGCTCTACATTGTTCCTACCCTGACATCCGACGCGCTTGGAGACGCGGCCATCACCAATGGCTACACGCTCAACCTCACCGCTGCTGGCGCCTGTACAGCGGCCAACAAGTCTGACGCCAACTGCGCCGTGGTATCCAACGCGACCACCGGTGTCATTCTTCCCCCGATCCAATCCGCTCGGTTGATGACCAACTTTTCGCGCAGCATCAAGTACGGTCGAGTCGAGGTGAAAGCACGCATGCCCACCGGCGACTGGATCTGGCCCGCGGTATGGATGATGCCCAAGGACTCTGTCTACGGAGCTTGGCCTCGTTCCGGCGAGATTGACATCTTCGAAGGTCGCGGCAACGTGCCCACCAAACGTGACAGCGAGGGTACCAACCAAATGAGTTCGACGCTCCACTTTGGACCCAACCCGCTCTTCGACGGTTATGGCTATGCCACCCACTTGCGCAACCTGTGGAGAGATTGGTTCAACCAAGGCTCGCATACGTTCGGACTCGAATGGACCGAAGACAGGCTGTGGACGTGGGAGCACTCGCGCGTGTTCAAGAACCTAGACGTCGAATTTGGCGACGGTGGCTTCTGGAAACGCGGTCGATTCCCGACGCAGATGGCCAACGGAACGTTGCTATCCGACCCATGGCCGACGTCGTCGTCACAGGGTACCAACGCCAACGCGGCACCGTTTGACCAAGAGTTCTACTTGATCCTTAACGTGGCTGTCGGCGGCACCAACGGCTACTTCAAGGATGGTCAGGGTGACAACAAGCCGTGGTCGAACGATGCGAAGAACGCGGCGGGTCAGTTCTGGCAGTCGAAGGACAGGTGGCTGCCCAGCTGGCCCAAGGATCCGAAGCAGCGCGGTATGGAGATCGAATACGTCAAGATGTGGCAAAAGTGTTGAAGAGGCAGGTTGATTGTACCTACCAATCATACCTTTCGCTAGTCGTGTTCTTGTCGGTTCCATTCTCGTTCCCGTAGATGATATCTGCCTATCTCGCAAGCTCACCTGCTCGTTGTTCCGTTTGCACATTCTCACGTTCGCTGACATTGTCTTGACTGATGACAGCGTCCATAAGCGCTGCTCTGTGAAGTAGATGATCATTGCACAAAACCTGGTCGATTCCGTAAACCGGTGTGATGTGCGGCACCGTTGGTTGAAGCGGGTCCGATGCCTGTGCCTGCCACGGAGCCACGAAAGCTGCCAGGTACTTCGATCTGGACGTCGGAGCCCGGAGCACTGTGGGTTGGCGCACCTATGCCGCCGCTGTTGGCGCGTAACAAGGCAGCCTGAGTGAGACTGGTGGCATGCTGCTGAGACGGTTGGCCGTACACGCCTGCAGTGTGAGCTCTCCATGCCTCGACGCTGCCGATGCCGCTCGGCACGCCCATGCCGCTTATGCGCGTGCTGGAGGTAGAGGAGCGAGGATTTGGTGGGCGAAAATTAGCCTGGGACGAGCGTTCAGAAGCGGCGTGAAGCATCTCTTGACGAGTCGACTCGTGATGGCCGGGCTTAATGACAGAGTCGTCGGGCCTCTCGGTGCCTGTGCTGACATTCATCTGACCAGGACCACCTGATGAGTCCACAGAGGCTGTGTCGGGGTGACCATTGAGGCCTTGGCCGGCATTGCTAGGCATGTCGTGGTCGCCAGCCGCAGAAGGTGAGGGCACAAGGTTTGGTAGGGTAAGACTCCAGTATCTGGGCCAGACGAATCGATCCAGGATCCAGCCGCGTAGGCGCGAGATGAGAAGCTGTTCTATCTTTGGAATATCCTGTAGCTTTGCTCTTGACCCAAGAAGACTTGAAGCTGACGCTTCGAGGGCAAAGTCGGGATGGAGTGAAAAGTGAAGCTGATGGCGCGAGCGTGGCGGCGAAGCGGAAGATGCTCGATTGGGAGTTGCGGTAGGGAGCACGGTAGCATTGGGGTCGGACGAAAAGAGCTCGATCGCCAAGGTGCCGGAGAAGCGTGCGATGGTGAGGCTGAGCGATACGGGAAGGACTGCGAATCTGGGCTTTGGGAAGTTGATGAGGAGCTTTGTGTCGATGGCGAGGGTGATCTGGTCCGAGTAGTCGACGTCGATCTCGATGCGTGTGCGGCCGGTGTCATCTGCTGGACGCACACGAGCGTTTGTGAAGATGGGATATGCGTCTCCAAAGTCGGCTTCGGTGACGCGGATGGGGTCGAGGAAAGAGGAAGAGGCACGGTTGAGGATCTCTTCCATCAAGTCGCGGGCCGTTCTCTCCTTTTGTGGCTCGATAGGGAGTGAGGAACGAGCAGCGGCATCGGCCCCAGAGTGATAGCTAGTCGACGCCCCGCCCGCCAGTACATCTTCACGATAGCCTGCGATGGCTTGGGCAAACATGACGTTGAGCCAATCGGTGGTCTCTGGAAGATGGGACGAGAGGTCGTAGACGGTCTTGTCGAGGATGTTGGCAAACATGGATGCTTTGGTGTCGGAAGAAACTCGTGGCGATTTGCGCAGCGAGGAGGATGAAGCTGCCGTGTGGGATCGCCTAGCACCTTGGAGTAAGGATTTGGCGTGCAGCTTTGACCGACGTTGCGAGACTTTGAGACGCATGAGCCTTTCCTTTTCCAGCGCGGTAGCCGAATCCTCGAAGATAACATAGCGAATGAGCAGAAGTGCGACGATGACCATGGAGACTTGACCGACAATGAGCCCCTGCGTGAAGGTCCATCTTGAAGGAGACGGGAGGTAGGCAAAGTAGGTGGTCGCGGTGGATCCTGGATGCTGGGCTGGCGGATAGGCCAAGCCGGCAGGCAGATCCTGCTGCGGCTGGGATGGCTGCATTGTCGATGCTCGAGAGCTTCAAGCTACTTGGTTTGCGGGAACGAGGGAGCTCGTCATCATGGATCCATGTGTCCAGAGGATGTACGGTGATGATGGAAGCAAGTCGTACAGTGAGTTCAAGAGCGGTCAACGTTGCTTGAGAACAAAGTGGAGCAGAAAGACCCTGAAAAGTATCGACGATGAGATCAGGATTGAGACATGCTAGATCGGCGATATCAAAAATCCGGAAAGTATCGCACGAATGAGCGTGACGCGAATCGCCGAATGTGAAAAACATCCGCCTGTCGTTACGCCTGCGCAGGAGGCCATTCATTCCTGCTCAGATCGGCGTCAAAGTCGGAGCTAGAACAACAGTGCAGCAAAGCAATCCTCTCTTTGGTACGCTATGGTAGTGTCAGCATCGTCTCTGCAGAGGTGCAATGCAATGACACCATCGTTCTGCCGCAGCATGGAGGGGAAGTTTGTTAGAACGACTCGCAGTCGGCGTCCGTCGAAAACTCCTTTCGGGCGGTCAAGTCCGAGGATCAGCGCAGTGCAGCGCAGAGCAGCCGTGTGACGAAATGATTTCGAGTTTCGAAACTTGACAGAGCGGAGCGCGTGTGTGTGTGTTGCTCTTCTTGCTGACAGCTTGCATGTCGCGCTATGCTGTGGTGGAAATATTTCGGTAATCACCTCGAACTTTTTGCCACACACACACACGCTGGCACGCAGTTCCGAGATTTAGAGTGGCGTGTTTAGCGAGTCAAAACCCTTGATTTGCACCCTCCGTTCTCTTCTTCACCTCCTCACCATCATCCTTCACTCACTCCCTCCTTATACGAAAGATGGCGGCGACAGCAACCTCTTCCAAGATGCAGCTCTTCTCCACCGAAGACGTTGCAAAGCATTCTACAGCCTCCGACTGCTGGGTCATCCACCGTGGCAAGGTCTACGATGTCACCGAGTTCGTCGAAGATCACCCAGGTGGAGACGACCTCATCCTCCAATATGCCGGCAAGGACATGGGCGAGATCATGGACGACCCGCAGGAACACTCTCACTCCGACTCGGCCTACGAACTGCTCGATGAACACATCATCGGTCGACTGCCAACCACCGATGCCGAGAAGCTGGCTCTCAAAGAGCGCAGCGCGAAAGGTGGCTACTCTGGCAAGGACGACTCAATCGAGATCACCGCAGACTTCCATCCGGAGGAGACAGATCACTCATCAGACTACAAGCAGAACAAGTTCCTCGACCTCAACAAGGCGCTCATGCCTCAGATGCTCCGCGCCAACTTCTCCAAAGAGTTCTACCTCGAGCAGGTCCATTCGCCACGCCACCTCAAGCAACCCGCGCGGTTCTTCGATCAGGACTACCTCGAAATGTTCACACGCACACCGTGGTACGTCGTGCCCATGGTGTGGCTTCCCATCGCTTCTATCATCTTCTTCCGCTCTGCCACTCAGTTTGCATCCAATCTTGCAAAGACGCCGCTCAACGCTTCCAACTGGTACGAGGCCGCCACCAAGCCCACCTCGTTCGACGCGTCTGTCTGGTCCCTCGCTCTCACTCAGACTGCCATTTGCTGGGCCATCGGCGTCGTCATTTGGACGCTGCTCGAATACACCATCCACCGCTTCCTCTTCCACATCGACAACATCCTCCCCGACAAGCCGGCGTTCCTCACGCTGCACTTCCTCCTCCACGGCGTGCACCACTACCTTCCCATGGACAGGCTTCGACTCGTCATGCCTCCGCTGCTCTTCTTCGTGCTCAGCTACCCTTTCACCCAACTCGCGCACGTGTTGTTCCCCCACGCCATCGCCAACGGCATCATCAGCGGCTCCTTCACCATGTACGTCGTCTACGACTGCATGCACTACGCTCTCCACCACACAAAGTTGCCAGAGTACATGAGGGAGATGAAGAAGTACCACTTGGAGCACCACTACAAGAACTTCGAGCTGGGCTTCGGCGTTACTTCCAAGGTTTGGGATTACGTTTTCGGCACCCAGCTCTAGGTACGCTTCTGTAAACAGTCATCTCGTCTCTCTCTCTAATCTGCGCATCGAGTCGATGTAAATATAGTTCGAAATCACACTCTTTTGGACAAAACGTTTTGCTGAGCTTCATGTCTGTGATTCCAAGAGTGTGCGTGCGTGTGTGTGTGTGCCGGTATCACACCTATGTGAGCAGATTCTGCACCGTCTGAATCGCCGAGGTAGGACCGACGATCCTCAGTCTCACATTCTGATCCTGCAGCTTGGGAGACGGAAGCATGCTCAGACACGTGGCTAGGTCCTGTCCGTGCTTTGCGTCTACGCGCAGGACCGCGTCCCAGCTTTTCCCACCGTCAGCGGCAGATGCGTGCGTCGAGAGAATGTCGATATTGTACGCCCCCCCCATGTTGCCCAGTGTTGCCGTTTGAGCCGTCTGCACGATTTGCAGCACAAGAGTTGGCAGGACTGTGGGCAAAGAAGAGCTCGAGGGGGAGGGGGAGAGGCGCAGGCCGATGTAGCGCCACTCGCACGGTTTCATCCCCTTCCGGATGTAGCGCGCGGTCGAGCGTTGCGAGTCATCGTATCTGAGGGGATTGTCTGCTGACGTAGAAGGTCGCATGAACGGAGAGCGAGAGTCAGCATTGCAGTTGCAGACAGTCTACGTGTACAGGCAAAGAGCGTGGTATGGATACTAACTGTCTGTCTTGGCAACTTGAGCCTCTGTCGATTTTGCAGCTGATTCGTCCGTGGCAGCCACAACGCCGAGCGTACCAGCAGCGACTGACGCCGCAGCTCGGCTCGACCCATTTGCGTTGCCCGTGCTACTCTGTTTCTTGTTGCTCTGCTTTCGCTGTTCTTGCCCCTTGTTCGAAGCCGCCGCTTTTGCATTGATCGTGCCGACATCCTCACCAGCCGCAACAGATTGATCCTCCTCGTCGCCCTCGGTATCCGCAGCAAACAGCGCCTCCATCGCGGGCGTGTAGTTCTGTATCTTTTCGAATTGACTCAGCGGATAAGTCACCATGTCAAACGCCAGTGCGATCGGCACGTTCTTGCCGTCCTTCTCGCCCTGCTCGCTCAAGGCAAACAGCGACGACCTTGCCATCTTGGGGTACCGCTGCGAAAAGTGCGTCAACAGGATGTTCTGCGCTCCCATCTCGTGTCCGACTCGGATCGCTTCTCCAAACGTCGAATGCCCCTTGCCGATGGCCATTTCCAATTCGCCATCTTCGAGAGTGGCTTCGTGGATGAGCAATGTGCACCCTTTGCCAGCCGCGATGAGTTCCGGTGCGGGGCGCGTGTCGCCAGAATACGCGACGGACCATTTCTCAGTAGAGTGTCGCACCACAAGACCGTAGCAATGCGATCCCCGGTGGATGACGCGCGCGGTGTGGATGTGCGAAAGACCGGTCAGCTTCTTGATAGCTTGCACATGGGCGAGATGCTGCTGACGAGCCTCTTGTTGTCCGCGACTATGGCCGTTCACTGCGGCAGCGCTTGGAACGTCATCACCGGAAGGATTAGGGTCGACGCCCGTGTGGTGATCCAAGTGGTCGTTGAGGACAAAAATCACGTCCTCGTCCAACCCAAGCTTTTCGATCTGCTCGTATTCTTCAAGATAGTTGTGGACAAAGCCGGTGCCGACGAGGTAGAGCGGCTGGTCAGGTCGAGGCTGTAGCTTTCTGCGTTCCAGCAGTAGCCGAATGAGTCCGATATGGTGGTCTGCATGGATATGGCTGATGAACAACACGCGCATCTCGCGCAAAATATCGTCTACGTCCTGTGGTAGCAGCGCTCCGCTCTCTGCTGCAGTTCCATCTCGTCGACAGCCGAATTTGCGTCGGAGTAGACCGTAAGTGGATTCGCCTGCATCAAGCAAGATGGTGCCCGACGAAGGCGTCTGGATCAAGGTGGAAATGACGTTGCGGTACTTGCTCGGGGCAGCCGAGCCTGTGCCCAAAGTAGTCACGAGGATGTCTTTCTCCGGCGGTATCGACATTGACCCGACGGCAGAATTGGACTTGATCTTGTTGACCACGTCGAGGAAGACCTGCCATGCCTGCTTGCGCGCTTCTCGCAGGCGGATGTTGCGTACAGCGCCAACGGAGTCTGCTGCTGCATCAATCGAAGGTGTGACGCCACTCTTGGTGTTGTTCTTGGCCTTGGCCTTGGCCTTGGCAAGTTGCTGCATCTGCTGCTCGGATTCTTCGACGTCGTCGAATTCGAACGCAGCGAGCTTGTGGGCTTGTTCCGACTGGATTGCAAAGTCAAAGTCCGGTGCGCCCGATTGATAATGCTTCGGTTCGCCCCTTGGCTGCAACGGGATGACGAGGTCCGCCTCGGCCGCGACGAGCCTGAGCGGAGCGTCGCTTTTACCTGTTGTACCGCTCGCCATCTCTTTCGACAACGCTGATACAGGAACTCGTGGAGCGAGCTGGTACTGAGGTACCTTGAACATGACGTCGTCGAGCTGTGAGAGTCGGAGCGGAATGGTGGCGCTGGAAGGGAACATGAGCATGTTGGCGCAAACGTCTTGATTGGCGATGATGTGGTGGCAGTCGGGACCGAATTGGCGCATCCAGGTCTGATAGCGTGGATCTCGAAGGACGTCGACGGGGACAGCATGCACGATGGCATGGGGAGTTCGAGACTGCTCCTTGCTGAGTTGTTGACTTGCACGTGCAGTGTACGGAGAAAAGGCCAAGGATGTGCCTTCGCTGAGCAGGCTGTCCAGATAGTCGATGGATGGCAGGTAGATATGGAACACGACTGCGCCGGCCCGAGAAGGTCCAACGACATCATTCGACTTGATCTTCACCTGCTCGAGATCGCTCCAGGCAGCGGGTGACGAGGCTGACATTCCCTTGCCCTGAGCCTTGCCATTTTGCTTCCCGTTCTGCTTTTGACTGCTGCCGGCAGAGCCGTTCGCACCGCGTTGGGTGCCTCGCTGGCTCTGTATCCACTTCTTCCTCTCATCTGTCTGCATAGCTGACCAAGATACGGGACGCTCGAGGGTGACGTCTTCTCCTCTTGTCAAAGCTGCAAACGAGGGGCCAGGTGCAACGCCAGCATCGGCGGCCTTGACTGGGTCGAACTTGCCACGTTGAGGATGAGCTTCGCAGATGAAGGCGACAAGGGGAGCCTGACCACCCTCTGCTGGATCAGCACGAACCGCTGAGACGTTTCGGGTATCGCTGTGCGGACGAGGCAAAAGACGTGTGACGAAAGCGGGGGACAGTGGAGGACGCCATGGTGAGGGAACTCGGTTGCGGTTTGATGAACTTGAGCGTGGTTGCTCGGCCTCTTCCATCTCGACGTCGTCGATGGAAGAGGTGAGCTTCGGTGCTGGGACTGGCTCTGCAACGTTCTCGCTCATGCCTGCCGATTGCTGCTGGCGTTTGCGAAGAAGAGAGTCATTGAAGATGCTATCGGAGACGAGGCGGATCCACGCTTGGGCCTCTGCGCCTTGTAATGAGGTTGGATTGAAGTACGGTCTGCGCCATGACTGATCTATCTTGTCGAGGATGTCTGTCGGAACGTGCATGTTGCTGGCGTCGTCTAGCTTTGGCTTCTTGGCAGCGCGTTGAAGTGCACTGGCGGGGTGTAAGGGCACGGCATAGACAGCTAGGTTGTCGTCGGTGAAGATGGGAGCTGTTCGCGCTTCTGTGTCCGCATTCGGCAGACCGGATTGTGTTTCAATTTCGTTAATGTTGAGCTTCATGATGTCTCGCTTTGCGTAGGTGCGCATGGTGGCGAGGGCGTAGCGGAGACCATCAGGCCCGTGAAGGGACTCGCTAGAGCGCTGGCCATCGGCCATGGACATGAGCACGCCCGGTAGGCCGCCAATTGCCTCCCATCCTACTCGCGAAACAAAGATGTTGGATACACGGCTGAGATTTGCCTTGCGTTGCGTGGATGAGCGAGAGGTGCCTTCGCCGACGTTGAAAAGGTAGCGGTCGGCGCCGAGCTGAAGGATGACGGGTGGGAGCACATTGGTGTCGGACGATGGCACGTGAAGCACACGCAGATCGGCGAGCATGCTTCTCTGCGGCGCCTTCGCAGTTCTTCTGACTGCCGATGTAGCGAAGTTGCAGGACAGGCCACGAGTGATGGACAATGTTGGATGGGAAGCGTTACCAAAGTGCGAGAAGGTTACTTTGGATAGTGGTGAGTGTGACCACCACATGCGATTCTAGCGGAGGGCGGACGGGCCGTTGGCGCCATACAGCTTGTCCTTTGCGCTATTGGGCGTGACCAGAGCGGATGGGTGATGCAGCGCCAAGGGTGGGAATGCCAATGACAAGGTGCACGCTGGGACTGACCAAGTATCTGAGCGCTTCGGACGAGACGGTGCAAACAATCGCGCTTGAAGGCTGGAGAGAGTGCTCAGTTGAGCGAATGTAGTTGGGATGAAAGTGTTGCCTCGGAAGCCGCTGGATCCGATGTGACTGTAACGAGGGGAGAGGCGCCTTTCGTGATGGCACTATGTTGCTATGAGGCAAGAAGAAAAGATTCCAGCTGCATGATCCAAAAAGCCGGACTTTCTCTTTTCTCGAAAAATGTGTGAATCGGAAATCGGACAAGGCAGCACGCGGCTCTTGTTCGATAATTTACGGAAGGAAAAATAAATAAATACTTATGGTTAAACAGCATCTGCCACTGTGGAGGTTGACAAAGACCAACGGCTCCTATGCCTTCTCCATTCTGCTGTCGGTCAGACACAATAAGTCCACGACGACGATGGCACACTTGACAGACTCGCCGGCGGAAAGTGAGCCAAGCATGTATCTGGAATCGGTCGTATGGTGCAAATTTGAACTCAGCGGGATGGCGTGGGGAAGCGTCGCTATGGAGTGTGTCTATGGACTGTGACTTCTTTCTCGCGGCTGGAAGGGTAACAATTTCTACCAATTGTCGCCCACAAGACTCACATTGGGCCATCGTCCTGTGTGGCTGCCTTTGTCACTTCGCGTCGCTTTTCCGATGAAGCAAAGTTGGATGGGGAAGCATCGCCAACTTTGCGCTGCTGACCCGCCATCGAAGATCGAGAAACAGCGCTGTGCCCTCGCGATGTTCAACCACTCTTTGCGGATCATCCGCCTCATCCCTTTAAGGAAGCAGCGGCCATTCCGTTGCCACCGCATGTTTGATTTCGCCGGCTGCTCCGCACCAATCGATGGTGCAGATAATGTTGGTGGGTCAATGTGGGCCAGTGCGCTAGATTCGTGTGCTGGGCAACCGTGCGCAGCGGAACAAAGGGGAGTCGCTCTGGTCGGCTCAGCCAGCCAACGAAGGATCGTTGCACCTCTGCTGACTGCCGCTATCACTAGACCTACACCCTCCTCCCGTTTTCTACAACACTCAAGGAAAGTATATCGTCCGCCTTTCCGAGATCACAGGCCCGACATTGCCCGGTCTCTCCTTGGTAGCGAACATGCCCGTCCACGTAGCCCTCAAGCGCAAGACCATCTATCGAATGGGCGAGAAACTCGATCCGTCCATCGCCACTCTCGATGAGGTAGATCACAGACTCTGCTCTAGCAGCGTCTTCTCCCGCGTCTTGCAGGGCAACCGTTTCCTCAAAAGCTCCAACAACACCCTCCGTAGCCTCAATAAACTCAAGCCATCCAAGGATCGATCGCAGGATAGTCCAAACTTCAAGGTCTACCAAGAAAAGTACAACGACATAATCGACACCTTTTGTCTTCTCGACTACAATGTGCTGCCGGTGGAAGGTGGCGATCCATTTGCGCAGTTCAAGCTGGTCAACCGTCTGGGCAAAGAGAAATTTCCACGTACGCCGCTCCAAATTCGCATCCACTCCTTACGCCATGACATATCCACGCTCTCTGAGCTGCTACGCAGGGATCTCTGCACAAACTTGCGACCGGAAAATGTGACCGCTCTCTCCTCGGAATCCATCATGCAACGCTTCCGCGTCGTTCGCGCTGTACAGAATCTTTATGCCGAACACGCCATCATGCTGGCACCTAACGACGACGCCTTTCTTTGGCGCGATTGCAAGATCTGCGCTCGGTACGATCCCGAAATCATTCGCTTCTGCCGCGACTTTTACCGTCTCCTCCTCAGGATCTTCCACGGAGAATGCAACAAGCCAATCTTTTGTCGATTCTTCACTCCCGCCGTCGAGATGTCAGATGTCGAGTCGTACGGAGACTTGTGAGATTAGCACCTACGCCACCCTCGAAGCAATGCAGGTGACTCTTAGCTTGAACTTCATGGCGTATCTCCTTTACTGTACGACTAGAGGTGAGCCGGGCAACCGTCATTCTCTTCATCTTGAGCTTACCCCTAATGCTGTCGTACCCATGGACGTGGTCGAACCCATCTTTATACGTGCATGCTTTGTTTCGAGCGTCGATCGAATGATCGACCTTTGCTTGCGTCACCATATGTAATGACCAGCTACGATCAGACAAGTTCAAAGAATCAGTCCGAACAGGTCTCGTGACGCCGACTGAGACGAAGCCCGTGTGATGTCTCTCGTGCCTCTCGAGACGCACTCAAGCTGTGCACATGTCTGAATACTCGCCTTGTGTTCCCTCTCCGATTCTCGTCGGGCTGCCTCTCAACAACACCGCTTTCAGCCATGAAGAAGCCTCCTTAGCACCTGATCCTCGCCTTGTCTTGCAGCTTGCTGCCCTTGTTGGCCTGCCTCGTTGACACTGTTAGGACCCATGAAGACCCGCGCGAATCCATCAAGCGTCAAACATACGCAGCAAAACTGACTGAATTTCGATCCATTTATCGTCAAGCTTATATCTTCGATCAGCCGCTTCCGGGACGCCTAGCTCAGCTTCAAGGTTATCCCAGGTCCATCACTGACATTGTCGAAAAGCTTGACCTCTATCGTGCTACGCAATCGAGTCAGGGTTCTCGATGCTTCCTCCTCCATCTCCTTTACCGCTCACGATAACGCTGTTGCTGCCTTTTGCTTCGCTTCGTTGCAGACGATGACCTCACCAAAATGCTGTCGAACTTGGACAAAGCATTCACCGCCTTACTACACACACATTTCCATCCAGAGTCGGTCGAGAGACAACCTCCGTCTGTTCTCAGAGGACACTTCTTCGTGATGGAAAAGATGGTAAGCTGGACGTACGAGCACATGCACAATCTAATTCAGCTCACGAGTGTCGACCAGGCCGGTGCTCGTCTGAGACGCTTCAAGCAGCTGCGAAACCTTGCGGCTGCTGCAATCATGGTCCCACGCCCCTGATCTTCCTTGCTTGTATCTGCCACGTGATGTCAGCTTCATAATCACGCTTACAATCGAAAACAAGAATAAAAAGAGAATGAGGTTGAATTGATAGTATGACAACGCGATCATGATGGACCTGACAATCCTCGCTCGATCAACAAAAGTCTCGCACGTCTCCCCCTGCTCCCATGCCAAAGTAGTAGCTGTTCGATCGCGCGCCCTTCGACGTCGATCGCACGCCACGCTTCACCGCCAAGTCTGTCATCGCCGTAGGGATGGACTGCGAGTGGTGGTGGCGAACAGCAGCGCTGCTGGCTCGGATCTGGATGCGGGAGGTGTCGTCTCGGCGAGCTTCGCCCCAACGACGGACGCTGATGTCAGAGTCGCTCGACGTCCATGGTGAGTCCGGAGCAGCAGAAGCGTGCTGGGAGACGTCGGCAGGCTGAGTGGGGAACTGACTTCGCACTGCACCGAGCGAGATGGATCGTTGCTTCTTGATGATGCGCCTGACCGCCTCTGCGTTTCCGGTGACACCAGCCAGATCGGTCGGGACGCTGCGGTGCGAGTCCATGGGTGCCGTTTGGCCAGCCGAGGTCGCAGGGATGGGACCAGCAGAAATCGACGCAGCCTTCTTCGCTTGCCTTCGCTCTGCGCGTCTCTGTTCGCGTCGTGCGTCCTTCTTCGCCTGCTTCTCTGACTGCTTTTTCGTGTCCACCTCCGCTTGCCTCGCAGCATCTCCCTTCGACCCCGACACCTCCTGCTCTTCGGAAACCGCATCATCTGTGCTGCTTCCACAGCCGGTCGGCAGAGCATCCTGTGACAGCCCGGACAAGATGGGAGCCTGGAAGGCGTAGTCCGAAGCCGCTGTCAGCTCAGAGTACACGCTCGGCTGAGAGACGATGCTTTCTTCTCGGCTCAACAAAGATCGACCGATCTCGGCAGAGCGATTCTGCGCAGACCTCGTTGTCTGACTACCTCGCGAGCTGATCGAAAGCATCCTACGTCGCCTCCATGCTTCCCTCATCGCTGCATCGGCTTCAGCTTTCGCCTTGGCTTTAGCATCGTCGTTCGACTTGGACGCTCCAGACCGCTTCTTAGTTGCGGCGTTCACCCTGTCGTACTCAGCAGCGAATGCCTCATCGAACACGGAAGAGACCACCGTGATCGCTGCCGAGCTCTGACAGCGAGACGAAAGCGGCTCGCCTCCCGCTTTGGCCGGGACTACCGAGTTGACGGGTCGCAGGTTCGCGCGCTTTTGTCGGCTGGCATCTTTTGCGCTCTTGCGCAGCTGGTCTCTGGAGCTCGAGGACCTCAGCTTCTTGGTGGTGCGAGCATCAAGAATTCTCGGCTTTGCGCGCTCCGCATCGGAAGCGAATGGATCGGCAGCAACGCTGCTAGCAGCTTCCGACTCCTCGAGCACCTTGAGACCGTGGGTGGTCGACACCTTGTTGGGTTCCAGCCAGCTCTTGAGATCGGTCGTTGCACAGAAGTGAGGTCGAATGCTCCCAGCACGACTGATGCTCATCTCTTCCGCAGCAACAACGTCCTTTGCTTCAGAGATGTCTTGAGGCGCATTACAAGCGACATTGGCGGCCGGAGTGAACATGCGCGCTTTCCTCAAAAGCCGGCGTTGTTGACGATCGTGTTCAGCCTGATCCGCATCGACACGTTCGAGCAGACGTTCCGACTTGCCCGCGCCGCTCGTGCTGGTTCTTGCGTCAACGTGCGTTTCGGAGTTAGTCGCTGTAGCAGTGTTGGCGAGCGTGGTAGAGGTATAGTCGCTGCGCAGACTGCCGTTCTTGGTGATGCGACGGTCAGGTCGTGGCGAGAGAGCTGTGTACGGGTCGGCAATCTCACCTGCCTCGGTCACCTGTCCAAGCCAGCGTCCAACGTTTCCGAGCAGTCGACCACGTCGATCGCCTTCCAAAGCCGGGAAGGGAAGCAGCGAGGCTCGATTTGGCTCGATCACTTTTGGCAGCTGGGTTGGCTTCGCGGACGATCCGGCCACGATCGACTGCTGCGTCTCTGGAAGCAAAGAGGCGAAGGAACCTCTCTTGGACCACACAGCTCCCACCCCTGCCATTCCAGGAGTGAATTGTGGCGCTGCTTTGCTTCCTTCGACCATCACCATAGGAGAGGCGATCAACGCCGGCTGAACTCTGGCAAAAGTCTGCAGGTCAGATTCGAGAGGATGCTTCTTGCTGCCACGCGCAGGAGATGACTCCCCTTCCTCTTCGGTGGTCCAGTCGACCGCCATCCTCTCCTCGGTGCGTCGTAGACGGCGAGCCATCGGCAGCTCTCGATCCTTGCCGCCGATGGTACCTTCAAAGTCGCTGTCAAGGTATGGCTGCATGTCGTGATAGCGCTTTCGCGTTGCGCGTTGTCGCGAAGCCGTGGTCGCAGCGTTGCGCAAAGTGACAGGAAGCATGTTCATGACGGCTCGATTGGCTGCTCCACCCAAGCTTGCCATCCGGGAGGCGGGCTGTGTGGACTTGGCTTGGAATGGATAGGGCAGGGTCGCAGCTGTGGGAAGATCCGAAGCTTGATGATGCCTCTGCACAAGACGCTCGATGAAGCTGGGTTGACGCTCGACGGAGGAGGGCCAGGTGAAACCGCCAACGTCTTGATCCGCAAGCTCTTTGCGTGCAGCTGCGTAGTTGCCGCCTCCCAAACTGTTCCTCGGCAGATCAGTGGCCGCGGGCTCTGGCTTCTTGATGGCTGCGACAGGAGGATCGAACAGGGTCCAGCCTTTGCCGTTCCAAGTGCTGACAGGAGTTCCATGAGCTACTCCTGCATCAGCGTAAGTGAGCACCGGAACGTCGGGGTTGAACTGCTCGCCCTTGTCCGCTTTCGTGAACAGATTGTCGATCTTGGCATCCTTGCGCTCGAGATCGTCATCGCCGCTGACGGTGACGCTGTCCAAAGAGGTGCGCTCTTGCATCTCGTCGGCGCGAAGCTTGGACGCATGATCGGATGGACTCCATGTTGAACGATCGAGTCTTCTCTTGCGTCTGGCTCTACGTTCTCCCGCACAGCAGGCGAGACGTAGGACCCAGGCAAGTCCGACGGATAGCGTCGCTGTGATGATGACTGCGCCGATGACAATGCACAGTATGAGCGGGGTGTTGTGATGAATCGTGGTGATCGGGTCCTTGACCGTACTTGAGGTAGGAGATGCAACGCTTGTCGGTGATGCAGTGGCGGAGGAGGCCGCAGTAGAGCTGGGAACCATCAAACCTGGGATGAAGGGGACGTAGGTGGATTCGGCCCTCGCGACTAGGCTGCTGGGGTCGATCTCCCTCTGTTTGCCTTTCGAAGCCGCATATCCTCCAACCTCGACGCTCTTCCCTCCACCGCTGCCGATGGTGGTCATCCTTTTGCGCACGGAATCGCCGGATGGTGGGCGCGCCTTCTTGGATGGCCTTGGCCTGAAGCGTGGCATGCCAACGTAACCGTCGTCGATGTGATCGTCTTACAGCTTAGCACCCTTCTCAGACGACTTCCAGAAGTCGTTACAGCTTCTTGTGTTGTTAAATAGTAAAGATCGTGTTGTGAAAGCGCCCTTGGGCGTTGAATGTAGTAGCAAAATGAAGAGAAAAGAAACGGAATGGTGATGAAAGGCGCCGGGCCTTGGATGGAAGAAGAGGAGAAGGAAGGCAAGACGCACTCGAATCTGTTCTTGAGATCGAGATCCTTTCGCTTGGACCGAACACTTGACCGAGCGCTTCGTCATTGTGGAATCTTACTCGAATGACGAGGAGGCACGCTTGAGCTAGCTGCTGACACAGGATGTCATCTGGCGCTGGCTGCGTAGTACGCAAGCATTAGCCAGTGAAGTAGAATCTACCGCAAACAAGGTACGGAAGAAGAAGAGCCGAAGAGCGACTTGCATCCTGAACGGGCAGGCCGCATGTTGAAAAGCTGTCTGGTAGAGTTGGACGCTGACGCCAGGTGGTGTGGGGTCGCTGCAGTGGTGCAACGGTAGCAAGGCCAGGCTGTCAGGTTGGACGAGACATGTCGATTTCCCTATTTGACAGCTCGCTCTCGCTTGGCGGGACGACTTAACATATCGGGCAACGCTACGTTTGTTGGAGCTAGCTTTGTGATTCGCAAATAAATTCGAAACAACGCGACGACGTGTGCCGAGAAGAGAGAGTGCAGAAGCTGCCGAGTCGAGTCGCAGAGACCAACACTTTCAGAAGAACGACACACAGACCATACAATCTTCTTTGCTTCTTCTTCTTTCTCTTCTTCTTCTTCCTCTTCTTCGTCGACGACAGCAGCGACGACGACAGCCCCTTCACCAGACGAACGAGACCCTGACCGAAGGAGCCATCATGCAACGTCACTCAAGATAGCCAACGGTCGACTTTGACGAGCACTCTCGCAGCCATGACGGATCTCAGCACCTACCTCGTGCTCGGTGCGGTGCTCCTGCCCCCCATCCTACGACAGGCGCAACGTCTCGCTGTAAACGCACGCACGTCTCGCAATGCAAGCGCGACACAGCATCCGGTACCAGGCTTTCTGTCATACGCACGCTTGACTCCATTCGCATCTCCCTTCTCGTCTGCAGTCACACTTGTCGCTTTCCTCTTCTTGTTCATCAGCTTCCATAACCTCGTTCCGGCTCGCTATGGCTTCGACATCTTCATCCCAGCCTCCGTCCTCCACCGTTTACGCTTTTCGACTCACGCTAATGCAAACTTCGCGCCTCTCCACATCGAGCTCTTCCGCGGCGGATACAAGCCCGACCTCTTTCTAGCTTACAAGGCTCCTGTCACAATACCCACAACCACCCTGCGCAATCTCATCAACACCACGCCAGACCTTCTGCCCATCGGCTTCCTCTCCCAGTCCAGCCTCCTCGAGCTGCAAGCACTCGTGTCCAGGCTTTCGAGCTACGAAGCCAGGCGTATGTACCTCCTCCTTGGATCCCGTCCGCTCGTCGACTGCACCTTCTGTAAGTCGGCCAACGACTTCGCTTTGTATGCCGTCCCCTTCCTTTTATGGGCGTACGCCTGGCGTATTCTCGGGATCGGTCTGCTCACCACTCATCCGGACGACTCGGTGGCGGTTGCTATTCGACAAGCTGCTTCTCTGATCAGGCTACCTCTCCGCTCTTCACCGCAACCTGCCGCGTCGGACGCAGGTGGGAGAAGCTTCCAAGCAGACCGGAGCGGGTGGCGCACATCATCACTCGTCGTACTCACGTCCATGCTGGTCATCGAGCTGCTCGTCATCTTCGAGTTTGGCCAAGTCACCGCGGAGCCCTCCCGGCTCAATCATTGGCACACCAACCTGCATATTCTGCGTCAAATCGTGGCTGCAGCCCTCGCCCTCGTCATCTATCTCTTCCCAGCCCCGGGGGTGCCCAACACTTTCCAGCAGAGCCTGATCCATCTCGATTCGGCTCAAACCAACTTGCAAAACCTCATGCACGTATCGCAGCTCGTCGACGTGACCCGCACTGTGGTCTTGCAAGACGATCAGCTGCTCGACGTGACGCGGCGCTGGAAGAATAGCCATCAGACGTCCGCCGTCGACATCGGCCCAGAAAAAGCGGATGAGATCATTCAAACTGCCATGTCACACGGTGGAGAGGCTGCCACCAATGCCATGTCTCAGGCTCGCGCTGGGGTGCAAAGAGTCACCCGCTTCTGGTGGCGCAACGCCGAGCTTGTCAACCAACAGTTGGATCAGCAACAAGCTCGTGCAACATCCTCTTCTGACGATCCACAGCCACCTTGACACCAGCATGGACGGGCTCTTGTACAATGACAATTTCTGGAGATCATGAGACCCCTTAATCCATCTTTTTGTCCAGGATCGTCTTTACAGCGTGACATCCGTCCCCTTGTCTCGCGGAGGATGATCGCATTCCGCCCAAAAGTCGCCCCCCACTCCATCGTCGACAATGAGCAGGAGGTGTTCCCGTGTACATGCGGCTGCCTGAATTTTGACTTTCGACAGGTCGATCGCTTCTTCCCTTTGCTTTTGCTTGAGACGTGGGTTGTCGTCGAGCCACTTCTGCCGGGGAGTCTTGGGGATGCTGAACGGGACTGGCGTGGGAGTCACGATGGGTTCGGTGGAGACGGCGCGTGGTGGGATACCCCATATGAACACTTGCGGTAGAGAGGAGGGTGAGCGGGCTGTGGCGATGAAGTATTCCAGGCCGCTGAAGAGGGTCTCTACTACCATGTCAGGAGGGAACTCAACGAGGGACAAGGAAGACCATTGCGCTTTGGACTCGGAAACGGGTTGACCGCGTGGACCGTAGCCGACAACCCAGACTCGGCCTTGCGTGTCGAGGATAGCAGCGAACGATCCGCCCGCTACCAGCTTCTGGAGTTTTGGTGGGTGAAGTGGATCGAACGAGATGCTGTGATCGCGGTAGGCGTCCGGTAGAGGGTTGGGAACGAACAGAGGGGCGACGATCCGATCGTGGATCCCGGCGAAGGATTGACCGTATTCCGAGTTCCCCCACACCCAAAGATCTCCTCCTGCCGTCAGAGCGTAGGACGTGTCCGCTCCGCAAACCACTTGGACAATCTCCGCTCCTGCCTCTCCGTCCGACTCGACCAGTTTGGGTGAAAGAGTGATGGGAACCTCTGTGAAACCTCTCTCGATCAACGGCTCGATCGGAACACACTCTTCCTTGTCTTTCTCTGTCAACCCCAGCTGACCATCGGTATTCAACCCCGTACTCAATACCCTCTGCACCCTCCGCCCATTCACCACCTTCTCCACCAACACCAAGGAATGATCCAACCCGGCAGAGATGCTCTTCACCTCCCATCCCTCTTCCCCCTCTCCCCCTACCGGTACTTCCCTTGGTAGCGGGAGAAGCTTCAGCTGCGGCTCTCTTCCACTTCGTATCGAAACATCGTACGCATCCTCCCCTGTTCTTCCGCCTTCTAGGCTGTTCGAGCCAAGTTGACCGAGCGTATCGTTTCCAAACGCAAACACTTTGCCTCCTTCGTTCGAGCTGGTCACGATGAAACTGAACCCGTTCCCCGCGGCGAGCATGGAAACACCCCCTTCTCCGGCGAATTCGCCCGTGACCATGCCTCTCGTAGCTTCTTGACTGGTGAAACCCAACCCCAGCTGTGCGTGGGTGTTGCGGCCAAGAGCGAAGACTTTGGATGGTTGACTTGACGTGCTGCTTTTCGCGTCCTCGGTGTCGAGATGTATCACTTCACCATCCACTTCTTCTTCCGGTTCTACTGCTCCATGAAGTGACACTTGTTCAGATGTCTGTCGAGGAGATCTCCCATCCAACCTCGTATCCAACAACGTATACCCTACCAACACATGTCCCACCCCACCACTACTCATACACTCATACCTCAACCCCCGATCTACATCTCCAGATACCCCTGCACTATCCAACCACGACCTCGAAAATTTCGCCAGTCGATCGATGGATTGATATCCCAGAAGATTTCCAAAGTACAACACGTGTTGATAGGACGGCGATGATGTGGATGAGAATGTTCGTCGAAGCGGTTGTGTGATGCGCGTGATGCGTCGTATTGAGGTCATGTTTGGTCGAGCGTGTAGGTGGAACATATGGACATAGAGATAGAGCAGGCCAAGAAGATCTGCTCTCAAAACCACAACCCCACCGCTGCTGCCTCCACTTTCCCAACACCACACCTCCCAACCATCGTGTCCGATTTCCGAACCTCCATCCTCAACCCCCCATCACCCTCAACAGTCTCCACGAAAGCAACATCAAACAATCCCAGGTCCACTCGATTCACACTTCAAGGAAAGCATCAGACACACACATCCCACAACAGTCAAAAAAAAGTCATTGTACACTCGTCTGTGTGTTTTCGCTATTTGCTTTTCACATCGTAGAACCAAGACCCCGAACCGTTGTTTCTCTGCTTCGACATCGAACCCCCAAGAAGTACAGAATGAAATAGTGCTGAAGGGCATAGTTTCTGAGTGTGACGTCGGATACGCTGGATAGACGCACAACATTGCGACAAGACGATCAAGATCGAGATTCTCGGGCCCTGAATTTTTGAATTGCTCAAGCCAAAGTGGCAGCAGCAGAGGCGTTGGCAGGGGTATCGTCGTCGACGGCGCCACCATTTGCACCGCCGGCGTTTGTCTGCTTCTGGCGACGCTCCTTTTCGGTCTCGAGCTGGTTATAGAGGAGGAAGAGCGCCTTTTCGTTGGCCTCGGGGGTGCCCTGGATGGTGAACATGCGTTCGCCCGTCTCGTCGTGCGGAACCTTGGCGATCGAAATCCTGGAACCGCTGAGACGGCGGATCTCGGTGATCTTGGAACCGCCCTTGCCGATGATGCAGCCAACCATGTCGGAAGGGATCGAGATGTTCTGGGTGCGCAGGTTGGCGGCGTCGACGAGGGGGGGAGCCGAGGCGTTGGGCTCGCCGGCGGTGGCAGAGTTGGTCGTGGCGCCGGCAACGAGGCCTCCACCGGGGGTGACGACTGCGTTGGGGTCGGTGCGGCGAGATCCGGCAGCGTTGTTGTTGCTGCTGTTGGTGTTGCTAGCGGCGGCAGCAGCTGCGGCTGCGGCATCGCGGCGGTTCGAGTTGAAGGCACCGTTTGCGTTCGAGTTGAGCGACATGTTGTTCATGGCACCGGCAAGGTAAGCGGGGCCACCCTGGCGACGCGAACCCTGCTGCTGAAGGCCACCCATGCCACCTGCGGCGAGGATGCCGGGGCCGTCACCCTGACCAGGCTGGTAGAGGACGACGTTTTGGGAGCGGTCCCAGTCCTCGGCGAGGCACTTTGCGATCTCGTGGATGGCGACACGAATAGCCTCGACGGAGCCCTGCACTTCGACGACACGCTCGGTGGACTGGGGGAGCATCTCCTTGGAGGCGACCATGCGAGCGCCGGAGAGATCCTGGATGTGTTTGATCTTGAGACCCTGACGACCGATGACGGTGCCCATGAGGTTGTGCGAGATGAGGAGACGGACCGAGGTGGTCTGAGCAGCCGCATCGGCGGGGGAGCCGTCTGCCTGGACGGGTGCGTTGAGAGGGTTCTCGAGGATGGTCTTGGCGATGAGAGCAAAGGCGTCCGAGATACCGGTGAGAGTACCAGTGACGGAGAGGACACGGTCGTGGACGCCGGGAACGACCTTGGAAACGCCGGCCTTGACGCCAGTCTGCTCGCGAAGCTCTGCGACGTTGGCACCACCCTTGCCGATGATGATACCGGCCTCCTTGGTGGAGACGAGGGCGCGAACCTGGAGGGTAGCGTTGGGGTCGACGTTGGCGCCGTCGGCGTTGTCGTCGGCAGCGACGGTGTTAGCATCAGCAGCAGGAGCGGAGGGGGAGGTGGCCGAGGCGTCGACGGCGGGAGCGACAGCCTCAGGCTTGGTCTCGGCAGCGGAAGCGGCAGACATTCTGGGCGGAAAAGAATATGCGGATGAGGTGTTTATGCGGGATAGGACGGAAGGACGACACGAGATGGTTTCCAGGTCGGAAGCCAACGGCGGAAGGAGATGAAGTCGTGCGGAAGGACGAGGTGGAGTTGAGTGTGGAGTTTAGGATGATAGGCGGTGGACAGAAGAGAAGAAGTGGCGAAGAGGGTTCGAATGGCGATGGTGTTGAAGCGGAAGGCGAAGGTGAGGATGTCGACAAGGCAGACGGAGGTGATGGTGATAGTGAGAGAGAGATGAAGGCGGATGTGATGTGAGTGAGAATAAGAAAGGATGAGAGTGAGATTGAAGGTGATGAGCACGATGAAGTGTGACTATACAAAATTCAAGAAGCGGAAAAAAAGTCAAAGCGAAGAAAGAAAAAAATTGAGTTGAGTTGCAGCTCATTCAGAAGACGTGGATTTTTGTGGTACAGCACAAGGCAGCTTCCAGTCCACAAGAGCGTGCGTGTGATGGATGATGGATGGCCTGTTCGCTCGCTCAACGAGCTTCTTCCTTTCTGTGTCTCGTATCTTGTGATTGCAGAGCAGAGAAGCATTGTCCATACGGTGGCCGCATCACTCAGAAGGCTGATCCAGTGCTGATGCTGGGCAGGAACGTAGCTAGCGTCTGATGTCGCACGCCAGATCGCAGGACCATCTCGAATGTGGCAGTGGGGCCGACTTCGATGTTGCCAGCCAAATGTCACGAGCCATGGATGGCAGTGCCGCAGGAGGGACCCTTATTCTCCTCTCCGAATCGTATCTCATCGATCGGGAGTGCTGCCGTTGAGTCTTGATCGGGAGATGCAAAGCTCTCGTTGAGCATTTCGTGCGAGCCAGACACCAGCCAAGCGAGCAGCCGAATGAGATTCTGCAAGTTGCGCACGTTTTTCCATTCTGAGTTCCAAACCGTCGGGTGCTGCAGCTGCTACAGCAACTCTGTGGTTCTACAGCCAGGAACCCGATCTGCTCCATCATCGTCGCACAGCAACGACCTAGATAGCGTGAGACCACCTCTTGTCGATGAGATCCACATCCAGCTGACTTGCACGTAACCCTTCATAATGATGCTCATTTGAGCGGATGGAATTGATCATGATGAAGCGCACAAGCCCCCAGCCTGAAATGAACGCTGCAATGCAGAGCAATCCGTCCCTGCGAACGAGCCTAAATTCCAATCATGCAGGTTATTCGCTCGCACAAGTCAAATTATTCTGAAAGCGCTCTCTCCCCAACCGGCGATCTCGTGAGCAATCTCGAGACTTGGCCATCGGCGTCATCTCCAACAGCTTTTTCATTGTCGCAATCATCTCTGGTCTGACCACCGCCTCACCTACTCCTCACCTTGATTCGGTAGCATTCACATCCGTTCACCCGACACGCCATGTCCGCACAAGCAGACTCGCGCCAAGCTGCCAGCACGCTCTCGGATCCGCCCGAGCAGGGAACGCTCGCCTACGCTTATCGTCGATCCGTCGTTGCACTTCAAAGCGTATTCGGCGGCAACACCGACTCGCAGTACGCCGAACGAGAGCCGTTGCTCAACGGTCAAGACCAACAGGACAACAACGGTGCCGCCTCTGCTTCCAATGGCGGCTACGGCGCCGTCGCCTCGTCATCACGCACCGATTCGTCGTCGCGCGCTCGCATCCGCAAACCCAAAAAGGTCGTCTCGCAGAGCAAGGTGGAAGCAAAGGTCTGGTTCGCCAACGAGCGTACCTGGATCTCCTGGTTGCGTGTCTCGATCCTCATTGGTTCATTTGCGCTTGCGCTCTTCAACTCGGACACCTTCTTCAAGAACCACAACGATCATCACCCCGGTCACAAGTCCGACTACCTCAGCTCGGGCTCCATCAAGGCGTTCGGTGCCGTCTACGCCGGTATCGCCGTGCTCACACTTCTTTGGGGTCTGTACAGCTACCAACGAAGAGTGACTCTCATCAAGACAAAATATCCGGGCAACTTTGACGACCTCATCGGCCCTCCTCTCATCTGTGCTGCTCTCTTCATCGCCGTGCTGCTCAACTTTATCATTCGAGTCAAGCAGCACGACTACGAGTCGCACCATTGATCCACCTCTTGTCATTCAGATGCTCTCTGCTACCGCAATCGCCTGTTGAAACAAGTGTCGCCTAATCTCACCTCGCCAACAAACGGAGCATGTTGCTATCACATGCTGAGCGCTTGTGCCACGTCGCGGTACATCTCCAAGCTACTTGACTGCTCTCTGGATCTGTCGATGTGTCTCTTTTTCGGCATCCGCAGATGCAGTGTGGTTGTGCGACTGTCCTTGTCGAGCTTGAGATTCGTCGCATCGACTTTGAGCTTCTTTGTCTGCCTGAGAAGAAGCGCCTCCCATCAGTCTGTTTCCTCTCTGCCCTGAGCTTGCCCACGATCTGCTGCTTCCTCCTCTACCAGAACCAGACTACAGTATCGGACGTCATCCGATACCAACCTTGCGAGCGAGACAGAGGCAGATGAGAAGGCTGCTCTAACACACTCACAGCCGGAAATCCGCTCTCAGGATGTGTGGCTGAAAAGTCAGTCGAGCGTCGCACCACCGACGAAAGTGTGATTTTCATGAAAGAGAGAATGCAGCAAATAGATTGTCAGAGCAGACTGCGCTGTGTCATGCGTTGACTCTTTCCTTTGCTTCAATTCGAGTTATCTCGACGCCAGCATCCGACTTCAAACCACGACCAAACATCTGCGTCGACTCTACACCATCGCTTAAGGGTCCAGTCGGTCTCCCTCTCTCCCCCCACATCATCAGCCGGTCAACGCTGCAGCCTGTGCGATCCTCGTCCATCCTCGGGATCCATCCCACTCGTCGTTGCAGATCGATCGAAGCGCCGTCGCAACCTCAAGCAGGTCCTCCCTCGTGTCACCTTTCGTCGCTGCTGCTGCTGCCGCTCGGACCACACGAGAATCCTTCTTGCAAGTAGATTCATCTTAGTCCTCAAGCTTCCCTTGACGTCGCTGATCGACTTCATCTCTGCAGCTCATCCCCGCACTCCACCTTCCGTCACCTCATAAAGCTCTCGACGCAACTCGGCCGTCTGCTTCGACACTCAAGCCGATCGATCTCGCTTTGATCATCCTTTCTTTGACTCCCCTGCGGGGTACGCAAGACCAGTGCGCCTCTATCCACTGTTTGTCCTTTCGTCGCCATGTCATACCATCCATCCCATGCCGCTGCGCACCATACCAGCTTCCTCAACGCTGGTATACCCATCAACTATGCTCACAACCACTCTGCCAGCGCCTCGCCTAATACCAACGCCTCGCTCCTAGCCAGCAACATGTCATCCCATTCCTTCCCCATGGCCCCTTCTCCAAACAATGGCACGCCTCAACCACAGCAGCAGCAACAACAGACCCCGCAGCAGGCACAGCAGGTTGCCGTGACGCCCGCCCAGCAGCAATCACAACCAGGCACTTCAGCACCACCAGGCGTGCCAGATCAAGATGGTCTCATCGCTCCCCCATCCATGCCCCTCGAACTCGACTTTGATAACCTCGAAAGCGCCTCCAACTACATGCACACCTACGCTCTCTCTCAAGGATTTGACATTCGCATCCAGTGGTCCGCCAACAACCAGACCCGAATATGCTGGTCATGTTATCGCGGTGGTTTCCCCGAGTCGCTCAACCAAGACGGCACGCCCAACACCAAGAAGCGTCAGATTCCCAAGGACAAGGAGAGGCGCAAACGCGGATCGCTCAAGATCGGGTGTCCCTTTCGTGTGCAATGCACCAAGAACTGGAAGACGGGAAAGATGGAGTTGAGGATCTTGGAAGGAAGGCACAAACATCAGATGGAGACCGATCGAGAGAATCTACCAAGTCAAGTGCGCAGGATCAAGAACCAACGCACAGGCCAAGACTCGCCTGGTACGCCCCAGGCGGGCAACGCCGCTGCTAATGCTGTTGCTCAGGCTGCCAACTTGACCTCAACACCGACACCCGCTCCCGGCTCTAAGGCAAGTGGTTCGAAAGCCTCAGCTTCAAAGGCACGGGCCAACAATGCAGCTAGGAACGGCACTGCGAATCGCAACACGCCCGCGACGCAGAGAGCGCCACAGCCATCGGATCAAGCCCAAGCTCTGGTCGTCAACGCCGCCGCAGGTCCATCGGCGCATCAGCATCTAAGCCTGCTCGGCACACCCACACCGGTCAACGGCACCTCGACCATGCTCGACCTCGATTCGGATTCCGTGCTGGAGACCACCACCACGCCCAACAAACCATCGTTCGAACGTCAGATGCTCAATCTGCTCGGCGTGTACGATCGATCCGACACCGCATCGCGTTCCATCATGGACAACGAGCTGGAAGCCATGCTTTCACGCGCCGAATCCAGGCTCGGTGGATCCGCGAGCAAGAGACGAAAGACTGCGAACGGCAGTGCCGCAGCTATCATGGATGCCAACAGCCTGCCCGTGCTGACGGTGCCCGCGACGGGCGGTGGTGGTGCAGCCATCGCTTCTCTCGCCAGGACGGCGTGGAACGGCCGTGTCACACCCACGGCGGCGAACGGTGTCGCGTCACCATTGAGAGCTGCAGCCACGGCGGGAGGAACGCCACAAACACCGTTGTCGCAGTTGGGCACGCAGCAGCAGCAGACATTACCTCCGAGTTCAGGCAAAGGGTCGGCGAGGTGTAGCAATTGCAAGGAGTACGGTCACAATCGACGAAGGTGTCCATTGGGCTGATTGCGGCCAAAGCAATATCAAGTACCTCTTTGATGCTGAACTGCAGATCTACACACGCTCTATTGCTTCGTTTCGGTCGTGAGAAGATAGTTGACATGATCCGATGTGTGAGAGAGAATGTGTGTTGAGCAACAAAGCAACCCCTTGAAACGTGAATCCTCGGAATCACCGAGCAAAGAGTCGCTTCTTCCGACGCGTGCACGGGTCACTGACCGAATTTCGATTCGGGTAATCTTGTATTCTTCTCGACCACCCTCTTCTTTTGCTTCAGCTCCATCATCACTTGAAGGCACGACACATTCATCGAAAGCGCAGGATCGATTTCACGATGGCGGAAAAGTTCTCCAAATTTCGCGATCCAGGGACGGGCATCCAAGTCTTTCTCACCCCCGTCTCGCAGTCCGCTACCGCCTCTTCTTCGGCCAGCGCGTCTTCCTCCGGCCCAAGCATCTCGACGCTCCTCTTCACACCGATCTTTGTCGTCCTCGGTCTGCTTCGAGCCATTCTTGGCGCGCTAGGTTGGTCCATGTACCTGGGTGGTTCTGCGATCGGGTTGAGGCTGGTGTTGTTTTCACTCGGATTCGTCCGTCTGCCTGTGGAGACGGCGGCGCGGCGAGGGGATCGATCGACAAAGCAGCTTGCTGGCAGCATTGCCGAGGCGAGGAGAGGAGATCTGATCGTGGCGAATCACAGCTCGTGGATCGACCTGCTGATCGTCTCGTACCTCTATCCTGGTGTTCAGTTCTTGGTGCCGGTGACGAACGAGTCTCCCACGGCCCCGCAACAGCAGCCTGACGCAGCGGCGGCGGGCAGCAAGAAACGCACTCCCAAGAAGAACGCCATGTCCGCAAACACACGCATCGTCACCCCCAACAGCACCACCTCTTCCACTCCTTCCTCCGACATCTCCGTCATCGGCTACACTGTCCTCCCCCTCTCCTCCGCCTTACGCTTCGTCGGATCGCTCCCACCATCGCGCCGGCAACTCGTCACCCAGATCCACCCTGACATCGCCACCGCTCTCTCCCAGTCCTCCACACCACTGGCGCTGTTCCCGGAGGGAACCACATCCAACAACCGTGCACTCCTCACCTTCTCCCTCCTCCCAACCACCCAACCCAACCCGACCCACACAACCCACCTCTTGACGCTCAAGTACAACCCTCCCACTCCAACCAGTGTTACGTCGGTGTACACCACTCCAACACCGTCGAATTCGATCGTGAAACACTCCGCCAAGATCGTATTCCTCTCCAACCCAGTCAGATCGGTCGCGGTGAGGTGGACGACACACCAGCATCAAGGATCCAGTGGAGAGGGTTGGGGGGAGGAGCTGGCGCAGGCAGTGTCGAATCTGGCGCGGTTGAAGAGGACGAGTATTGGGTGGAGCGCCAAGTGGGAGTTTCTGCAGATGGTCATGGCTCGATCCAAGAGGTCTTGAACCAACTCACCAGCACATAGCCCTCTCAAGCACAACTTGTCAAAACAGAAAAACGACTCTGATGCTACGAAACCATCTAATACAGGTACAAATACAAACATCGAAACTGCTTTCCAGCTCCTTAGTAAAGATTCAATCCAGTCCTACCCGAACATTCCGCCTCCTTCCTCCACCTATCGATCCTCATACCCATCCAACCGGTGGTCAACCCATCCTCCGCTTTTGGCTTGATCACACCGATCCTCAAAAAGTCGCTGGTATACCTGCACTTGCCAAACTCTCCATCGCCCTTCCTCCACTCCCACATCAGACAGTCCCTCTCGCCCCTGCACATCCTCTGACACTCTGCGGCATCCCTCGTGCCAAAATCCTTGGTTTCGCTATCCCAATCCTCAATCGCCTGCCAACCGATCACGCCCACCTCTCCCGGTTCTACGCTGTCCATCTTGAGCACCGAGTCGCCGTCCCACCGCCCGACCTGCTGCATGGCCTCTTTGAGGAAGGCAGGGATGAACTCGTCCCAGATGTCCGACCAGCGGACTACGTCGGTGGAGTTGAGCTTGGGTTCGATGCGTCGCTGGAAGTCGTACAGGTGGGCGGCGTCGGAAGGCGTGATGTGGTGGAACGACATGATGGGGGAGCACCAGTTCCCGCGGGTGAACTTGAGAACTCGGGGTGGGTCAGAGTTGAACCTTTCGCCACCTTCAGGGGAGAGTTCGGTGAAGTTGATCAGGGGCGAATCGTAGATCGACTTGGAGAGGAGCGCGTCACCGAAGGCTGATTTCTGGATGAGATCGTCGTGGGTGTGTTCGAAATCGGCATCTTGACCGAAGGAGGCCTCTACGGTGGCACCGGAGAGCACGATCCCCGACCCGCCGTGCGTGAACATGGTCGACTTTTCATCGTAATCGCAGAAACTCGGATGCCCCATCATGAGCTGCTTCTTCTCATCCAACTCGCCCAACCACTTGACCAGCTGGTTCCAGAACAAAAACGTATCCGCCTCCACCATCACATACCACTTCTTGCCCGGCCACCTCCTGTACGCCTCGGCCACAGCCGGCAAGAACTTGTACTTGTCCAACTTCCAACCGCCATCCTTCTGGGACATGTCGTCCAGATCCTGGTTCGACTCGACGAGCGCCTTGAGTTCGGCACGGAGCGACTTGAACTCGTCGAGCGCAGCGATGGTGGAGGAGACGTTGGCGAGCGCGTCGTAGAAGGTGATATTGGAGAGGGTGAGCGAGTAGTCCGAGACGTAGAGGTGGTTGGGCATGTAAAGGTTGGAGAGCGGTTGTTCGGCGAGGTGAATGAGCAGGCGTTTGTGGACGGTGGCGGAGCCGACCTTGGTGATGAGCACCATGTCGTCTTCCAACCGATAAGGTTTTTGTACGGGTGCGGGTGCGGATGCGGGTGCGGATGCGGGTGCGGGTGCGGGTGCGGTTGGGATGGTCTGGTTGCTTGGCGGCATGGATAGCGCCGCGTTCGATGTCGTGTTCGGTGTGGATGTACGATCGTCTCGAACCAAGACCATCAACGCGAGTAGGAAGCATACACACAGCAGGATGGTCGTCTTGCCCTTGTACAACACCGTCATGACGCCCTCGGTCAACAGATTGTCCCTCCTCGTCCCTTGCTCCACCATGGCGTACGGAGTTTGACCGGCAAACTTTCCGCTCCACTTCTCCGACAACTCGTACGGCTCGTCATCGCCAGCGGGGTACAGATTCGAGCTGTGCCGTGGCGACGATGTGAGCGAAGACGAGGCGGAGGTGTGTCGTGACGATCCTACACCCAGGTCGTTATCTGTGGTTGGGATGGCGGTGTATCCTCCCGCTGTCGTTTGTGACACCATGGCTCTTCGAAAGTCTATGGGAGAAAAGAGCCTCTTCTATGATGGTTCCGTGGTGGTGGTGGCAAGGATGATGGAGAGTCAAACAACCGCAACGCAGGAGAGAGGATCAAAGGGTCAAGAGGGAGAGGGATGTACAGCCTTATCATCTCGTCATCTCCAACGCGGTCCGGCCTCTCTGCAGGAAAGGTCTTCCAATCAAGGAGGCACCTTGAAAGACAGCACATTTACTCTGTAAGCGAGGTGCAATCCTTGTACATGTGCCCACTAGAGTCACACACACGAACGGGAAAGGCAACCCACGGATCGAGAGGCGCTTGCGTTGACAGCCTCGTGCACCAAAATTGCCGAGCGGGTCACAGTGCCAAGCCGCAGTGTGACCGGAGTTGCGCACTTTGGCAGCTCCAACGCCGGGCTAAAAGGGTAAAACGCGGGAAGCAAACACGGGACCCTATCTCTCTTTTCGCCTTTTTTTCCGTTTTTCTTTTTCGAGAGAAGACGGTCAGGGCGAGACGGCTTCCACTCGGCTAGAGGAAAAATTCGTAGCAATACCGCCGACACGCGTGGCGTGGCGGTGGGTTGCGCTTCTGGCTGTGCTTGCCAAATTTGATCCCAAATTGACCGATGCAAGTCGTGCTCAAGTCACACACATTCGCGGCAACCGTGCGTTGGCTCATCCCGAACTCTCAGCCTTTCGGGAGCCAGAAGCCAGCAAGCTCGCCTTTGCTGTGACCGCATGGGTCTGGGCTCTACTGCTGCTGGCCTGACCGCCATATCTCCTCCTCATCCTGTCCGCACCCTTTACCATTCCTTCAAAGTTTTGAACTCGGTGGTGAACCTGCAATTGCACTCCAAACCTCCTAATCCATCTGAATCATGTCGGGCAAATCCTGTTCCAACTCCTCCAGCTCCACCGGCAGCAACGGCAGAAGCTACACCGTCACTTCATCCGGAACCAACTCGCAGGGCAACCACTATTGCTCTCGTGACTACGGTTCCAGCGCTTCCAACAGCAATAGCTACCACTACTCGAACACCAACGGTTCGTACTACTACAGCAACCCGAACGGTTCCACCTACTACAACAATGGAAAGGGAGGTAGCAGCTACACTCGTGGTGGCAGCAAATGAGGATCGGACTCGCACGAATGCTTCGTGTGGTTCTCGGAGATCGAACCGAAGCCGAAGGCGTGCGCCAAGTTACGGTGACCATTTTCAATGGCTCGGACGTTGCTCTCACTACCCTGCTCCTTGATCTCTTTCGATCTGGAAATGGCTTTCGATACCGCATGCGTGAGCTCGGATTGACAGACACCACGAACTGTGTTGCTAAGGTTGCTACGGTGGCTCGAACCTGAGTTGTTATCGTTGACAGCGTGTGTGATATCAGGGTCTGTGCAGATGAGCAGCACGCGTGGTTCACGGAGAAAAACCCAAGGGTGAAAATCATGCGGAATCCCTCTCTTGTATGTGGCTTGCTGTCAATCTGCACAGCATCGTAATGTCTGCTGCACAACCGTAGACGCCTCCCCGAGTACCCACCGCACCGCACCTCTCGATAAGCACAGAACTTGTGTGCTCAGACCAGTGCACACAGTCATGCTAACGTGGACTCCTTCCACCGTCGGTCTGCGTGTCTCTCACGAGTCGTACCTTCCCCACACACAGTCTGATCCGAGTAGTCTTAGGCATTGATCACAGACCTTGGGAATTGCATTCGTTCTAAGTCGCTAAAAAAATCGTCCAAAAAAATTGCGCACACGAAAACCTCACCCTCTCCATCGAACAACGTTGATCAATCTTTTCCCATTCCTTTGAGCATTGCAAAGACTATATAAACCGTACATGTGTGTATTTTCAAGCCGTCTTCTTCCTCGCCTCCCTCTTGGCCGCCAGCAGGCGATTCCTCGGCGACTTGGCAAACATCGTCCTCCGAGCATTGAACGTCGCCTGCGATCTAGCCACCTCCTCCGCCACCATGCTCAGCGCCGCCAACGCCGCCGGCTCCCAACTCTCGCTAGCGACGGATTTGACGAGGTCGCCGCGTTTGTGTGTGAAGGCTGATGAGATGTACGCGTGCACCGCTTGCGGGAGGTGTGATGCGTTGGGTTGGAGCGTCGTGGGGATAGTGGCGGTGGGAGTGAGACCAGATGGGTGAGGTTCCGGGTGAGGTTCCGATTCGGGAGACGAAGCATCGGCCCATTGGTATGTGTCGTCTTGGTTGTCGTCGGCGTCGCTGTCGGGGACGACGTCGTTGTCTATGTCTGTGGTGGAAGGCTGGGTCTGAACCAGCTGTTGTAGGTCTTCGTACAGCTTGACCCACCTGGCATCGTCTGGCTTTGCAACTGCCAGATCGTCGTCCATCAAAGCGCGGTCTACCAGCTCCTGCGCTGCTGCGGGCAAGCGTCGCTTGTTGTACCCTGGCAGCATGTTGTCGGTGAAAGATTTGCTCTCGGTCTCCGCCCTTCGCTTTGATGTCTTTTCCATCTCGACACCTTCGTCTTGCGCCCTTCGCTTTCCCTTCCTCTTCGACTCTGTAGCCCGACTACTGCGTTGTCTTCCTACGGCCTCGTTCATTGCGACGTTGGTCGACTTTGCTGGTTCAGCACGCGTTGAAGCAGGTTGGTCAAAACTTCAGCCCTCTGCGCCGATCCCAGCGACATGAACACTTCCGCCACACTCTTTCCCTTTGCGTCTCGGATCCTGCCCAATTGGCTTCCCGCAAAAGCACCCGCGAGCGCACCCGGAATGTTGCCAACGATAAACCCGAGCGCTGTACCAGACGCACCGCCGACCCACTTCCAAAACGGAGCGACACGCTGCACCTCCGGTCTCAGCAGCTCCTCGAATACGTTTGCGAATACACCGTCTGCCTGAGGCTGGTGGCTTCCGGCTCTCCTCCTACGATCCTCGTTGGTCTGCGTGCCGTTCTGATCGGCCTCCTCCTGCTCGTGCTCCTCCTGCTTGAACGCGCCGGGGAAGAAGCTCTGGAAAAAGTTGGCCGAGTAGCTCTGCTCCTTCTCGCTGAACTCGGAGGCGGCCTCGTCGTCCTCGTCGTACGTCGCGTTCGAGTAGAACGAATCGGTCGAGGGTCGAGAGCGTCGGAGCTGATCGTATTCGCGACGTCGGTCCGTGTCCGAGAGCACGTAGTAGGCGTCGGCAAGCGTTTGGAACTTTTGCGTGTAGCGTTGACGTTCGGCAGGCGTAGCGTTGGGGAATCGATCCGGATGGGTCTTGAGCGAACGTCGCTTGTAGGCTTCCTTGATCTCTGCAGACGACGACGTTGCCGAGACACCCAACGTTCGATAGTAGTCCGGGAGAGGTGCGTCCATATCGTGTTTGAGGTTGGTTTGCGTGTGTGTGTGTTAGAGGCCAGGTAGGGTGTTGTGGTGTGCTCCGAGTTTAGGATGGTGGTGGCGACGAAGGAAGAAATGCGCACGACTCGCACCTGTTCTTGTTGGCAACAGTCTTGCTGTGCCAATTGTCGGTTAGAGCTAGGAGATGTGCTGTGCGGAGAGAACAAGATCAAAAAGGCGGCTGAAAGGTGGCGGACCAGGCCTCCACGTCAGATCGTGGCTGGGTGAGGGCAGAGAGGAGAGCGAGACAAGCGTCGAAATGTCGTCACTGCCGCTCGGTCGCCTCAATGCTGCCAGATCCGGTTCACCCAAAATTTGGACAATCAGGGTCCAGCGGGATTGGCATGTGAATGTGCTGAATCAGGCTGAGTCATAGATTCGTTCGCCAACAAAAATCACCGATCCAGCTGGTCACAGTTCAGATCGATCGGGTTTTGGGCGACTAGTTGGCTCGGTGATTGGCGTTGTCGACATCTGTCCACGCTTCTCTTGTCCAGCTGCATGCTGGACTGGTAGGCTAGATCCTTCTTTCTTTCCAGCCCGCTAGTCCACACTGCGTCCCGCAATGGAGCCATCTGCAGCACCGTGTCCAGCGCTGATTGTGCTGGATGTACACATTCGAGGCAATTGACAACGCAGCGCTTCGTTGCCAATCTGTGCATTACGCTTCCAAATAAGCTAGAGCCAGAAAAAAGCTGCATGTCGCGTGCATGAGGCTACTGCACCGCCGGCAAGCTCGCATGTTTTCGATCATCAGCGTGTTCAGGGGCAGCTCGCTGCGTGCATGAAACAAGAATGTTTGTGACTGATCGACGTTCGCACCCTCGCCTGCGGCGAGTTGGTGATTGAAGGATGCCTCACAGTCAACATGCCAAAGAACGTAGCTCCCGACCGCGTGGAACAAATGAACAGGCGATCCTCTGCTGATTGCTTCGGAGAGGGCAGCTCAAACCTGATTCCTCGGTGCAGCTCGCGTGCTCGATGGCGAGCGAGATAAGTGTTGGTCGCCGAACCATTCGGCGTCTTGATCCTCCAAAAGATCAAGGCCACCGAGTTGACGGCAAGAGTAGGATACAGTCAGCATCGAACTTGACAGCTCGCGTATGTTGTGTTGGTCTTCGTCTCTTCTCGCGTTCGCTAGCGGTGCATACTGTAACTATGTTAGGCAACGTTGATGCATCGGCAAACTCTTTTGTCGATCTTCTCTGCCGACGTCCTGCACCCTGAGGGCCAGGTCAGATCGCTCGCAGTTCGATCAGATATTGCCCACGATGATTGCATATTGCTCGGGCACGGCACAGTGCTATGAGCAATCAATGCGAATGGCTTCGGGGCGCAATCGACTCGCGTGTGGCCTTGTCACTTGGATCAACACCATACTGTGCTTGCCATAGGACGCCCAAGATACTTTAGGGGGCACGAGCTGCATGTTCAACACGAGGCTTCCTGCTTGATGCCGATCAGCATGAACATGCTCGGACATTCTGCCAATATCCTGTACAAGTCCGACTACGTCTTCGCGGACAGCATGCAGCTACTGATGGCGCGTGTACCAGCCAGGTGCAAAGAGTCGTTTCGGCCGATCAGCTCGCCAGCTGCTTCTGCGGAAATGTAACGACGCCGACGAGCTTGGATACAGTAGCGAGGCGCATTCAATCGAAACTTCGTTTGCAGCGGCGCGGCAGCGACGTTGACAATGACATCAAACGGCGGGCACAGAGTCGCCGAGGGATTGTTCAGCTTCACGAGCCAGCCAGCGTGGCACGACAGCCTGGCATTATTGACGCAGTGCACTGCAGCGCGCTGCACAACGCTCCAGCCGCCGCCGCGCCTTTCCGCCGGTCGGCATACTCTGGCAGCACAAGAGTGTCAGTGGCAATTCAAAAAGTGATTTGCTAGGGAAATTCAGGACCGACTGCGCTATACTGCCTTGTTCGACCTTTTCTGTAGTTAGTGTTCTTCTTCTTCTTTCTCCAGATCTGCTGCACGACCCTCGGGTTTCCGATGATCTTCACAGAGACGCGCGCATGCATCACACATCGCGATGCTGTGCTGTGCTGCCCTGCTCTGCTTGAACGAAAAATTCTGGCGAGACCATGCCGTGCCGTGCCGTTCGATGCATTCATGCCCTCAGCTTAGGCGGTCCGCTTCGGTCAAGAGGCAAGCCCAAAACACGGAGGATCGCATCGTTGCCGCTCCGACCGCCGCTTCGCCTGCATTGCATCAAACAGAGGGAGAGAATCCGCCCGGCCGCTTGACTCAAACGTATCGTTGCCCTGTGTTGTGGGTTCGCCAGCTCAAATTGACTTTTCCATTTGCATGCACCTCTTGCCAGCTCAGCTCAGCTCAGCGACACCAGACAGCAGCAGCAAATGGCAGGGCCCTTGAAGCAACACACAAACACACACACACACACGCGCTTCCATCCGAGACCGTCTTTCTTGCAAAATCTTCGCTTGCATCTCAGTCGGTGTGTGTGCGTGTGTGTAAGGCAGGTCCGGCGTTCTTCTCTCGGTTCGTGATGTGCCTCTTGCTCGTGTGCGTGCCATTGCCTGCGCGCACGATGCTCGCCTTGGGCTGACCTGAAGCGTCGAATGTTTTTGAACGCTCACGCACAGATCGTGCTCTTGGGCCCTTTCAAAAATCGCAGACCGAGACCACGCTGCTCAGCTGCCGAGGGTCGGCGCTGGAGCTGCTTGTTTTGCTTGCTTGGTTTGACACCGACACCGCCTCATCGCCCCGAACTTGACTCTGATGCCGCCGGCTCATCCGTTGCCGCTGTGCCTCGCCGCCGCCGCTCCTCTTGTCGCCTCGCCTCCCTCTCTCGCCCCCTAAAAGGTTGAGCTAATTGGGTTGCTCAGGCGGTGTCTTCCTCCCATCCTGCGATCCCATCCCTTCTCTCAAAACGTCTCAGTCCACTTTCTTTGCTTCTCTCTCTTCCCTTCTCTCCATCATCCTCACGACCAGCGACGTCACCTCTTCTTTCCCGCTTTCGTTCAACACCACAGTAAAAGAATTCTTTTCGACATGTTGTTCTCCAAGGCTGTCTCGTCCGTCGTGGGCGCCACCGTCCTCGCCGCCACTGCCGTCACGGCGCAGTCGGTACCCGCATTCACTTACGGCACCGCCAACCCAGACTACCCAGGCGTCAAGTCCACCAACCGCAACGGGCCCACCAACCCCTCGGCCCCTCAGCTCAACACGCCCATCAACCAGACCTCGGTCTCGCGACTCGCTTCCATCAACTCGATCGACGACTGGTGCACTTTTGGTCCTCCCGGTACGGGTCAGCCCCTCGCCGATGTCGAGGAGATCACCGTCGCCTACTGCACCAAACCCCGTAACAACGCCCGTGTCATCCCCGACGGCTCCGTCACCGGTGCCCACTTTGTCAAGACTCCGCTCTACGTCCAGCTTATGGCCGTAGGTGACTTCACCAGCATCGGGTTCATGGCCGGCGATGAGGGAGGAGAGCTCGACCCCCACGGTGCCACCAACATGGGCAACCCCGTCGGCGGTAACGTCACCTCCAACGTCTCAGGCCAGGACGTCTTCTACGAGGAGTGGATGAACTACGCCTCTTCCAACCAGATCTGCTTCCGTGTGTGCATCGCAGGTAGCGAGCAGGCACCCACGGCTCTCGAGTGCCAGCACACGCTCGACGTGATGGGCTGCAACTTTGTCATGCCCGGAAACTACGCCGATCAGGTGTTCGAGACTTGCGACGGGGACTCTGCTTACCCTCCTGGTCTTTACCCCGAGGGCAACGGTCAGACCTCGACGTTCGTCCAGTACTTCACGGGCGAGTACGCCGTCGGTGGAACCACCTACTCGTACACCAACGGCTCTCCCGACGAGACCACGCCTCAGGCAGCCTACTCCACCCCTTCCACCTCCAACTGCAAGACCACCTCGAGCATCGGCAACGGCATCAAGTCGCTCATCGCCTCCACGTCTTCCTCCACACCGTCCTCGTCGGCTGCCAAGGCCAGCAAGACCTCGTCGGGCTCGTCGGCTTCCAGCACTGGCTCTTCGGGCTCGTCCGGTTCCAGCTCTGGTTCTTCTGGTTCGTCCGGCTCTTCGGGCTCCGGTTCGGGCTCGTCTGCCAGCACCACCAGCGGTGCATCCAAGCTGGTCAGCACCGGCTCGGCTGCTGCTGTTGCCCTCGTCGCTGTCGTCGCCGGCGCTATGATGCTCTAAGCATCTTTCGCTGTGCCAGTTGTCTGAGCAGCCGTTCGCTCGCTATACCTTGTCCATAGCCGTCCGATGAACAATGTCTTCTTCACTTTCGCTTCCGTATTCTGCGGGTTGACCTTGCCCACCCAGGATTTGCTTCTTCTTCTTCCTTGTTCCTTGGTTACCATTTGTTTCGTACATTCATACACTCCTTCAATATCTCATCACATCTCGCCGAGGTTGCCCGCCAGCCCGGTCGGAATGTCTGCATACCTTCGCATCCCCCTCCGAATTGACCGTCGTCAAAGTGTGTGAGATGTTGTGCTTGTGTTGTGAGCCAGATACTTTGAGAACTCATGGGCAATCGAGAAGAACAAGACGACTTGTTTTGTCTCGGCTGTGCTTGACAGGTGTCTTTGAAATGTGCGCTTCTATTTGATGAGGCTCTCCACGGCTCTCGTGTTTTTTGATTTTCCGGATGTCGGAGCTTCCGCATTGTCCACATTCTTGTGAGCGCTCCATGGCTGTTCCTTTGCACCCTCCTGCACAACCAGAGGTTCGGACCAAGCGAGTTGATTCAAGAAGGGACAAAGGAGGGACGCAGGCTCTCCGTATTCTGTCCTCGGAGCGCTGGACCGGTAGCAGCCTTGCAGTGCGGAATCGGAAGGGCGAGCTGCGATCTTGGTCCCCGAGATCGTCTCAACAAGTGGCAGTCTAACTTCTTGACAGGCACGGACATCGACGGCAATTGAAGACATCCCGAGATCGTATGCTCATTATGTTCGCATCGACAGGCGCCACCAAGATCAGCTGCAGCCCTGTCTCTCGTCGCTCAAGACTGCATCACTCCCTCTTGAACCTGCACCTTGCTAGTCCGCCAACCTCATCCCTCTTCCATACCTCAACAACAAAGCACAGCTCTGCAAGCACTCAGCTTGCTTCTCAATCGACCTCTCCGCAAGCATATGTCTCATTATCTTCAAATCCATGGTTCAACCTGGCCTTCGAAGATCACCTGTTCCGCACGGTCGAGCCGTCAATACCCGTGTGTTTCCTCTACCGCAACTCGCCATGCGTCGTGGTAGGACGCAATCAGAACCCATGGAAGGAGCTCAACGCATCAGCCATGCGATCCATCGGCCTGCCCATGGTACGACGGCGTTCCGGAGGTGGTACGGTGTATCACGATCTGGGCAACACCAACTACTCGTTCCACATTCCACGCGAAGCGTTTGACCGACGCACACACGCCGAACTCGTAACCCGCGCGCTCAACGCTGCCCCCGTGGGACTCGTCCAATCACGTTCCGATCTCGCTCGCTCCGACATCGGCACATACGTCAACGGACGGAACGACATCTGCATTCGAGTCAAGAGTGGCTTCGACCGCAGTTCAACCGCAAAGACGAAAGCAGAGGCGGACGAGCAAGGGTTCGAGGAGCGGAAGGTTTCCGGTAGCGCGTACAAGCTGGTCAACAAGCGAGCGTATCACCACGGAACCATGCTGCTCTCCGCGAGCTTGGGCAGTCTAGGTAGCTCGCTGAGGAACGATCGTGGGGAACTGCTGGTGACGAAGGGTGTAGCATCGGTGCCTGCACCTGTGGCAAATCTGTCCGATGCTTTCCCGGATCGAAAAGCGATGCTCAGCCACGACATATTTGTCCAAGCTGTCGTCGCCGAGTTCCACCGAACCTATCCCAATCCCCAATTGAATGCACCAGCAGCAATCGAAGTGGATGAGTCGAGCCTGGACGATGCACAACTGAATCAAGGTCGGTGGAAGTTGAAGGAGAACTTTGACGAACTGCAGAGTTGGACGTGGGTGTTTGGACAGACGCCCGAATTCACGCATCGTGTATCGATGCACGATGCATCGGAGGTCGGTTCAGAGGACGGAAGAGGTTGGGGTCCATTCTCTGTGGAGATCCATTCCAAAGAGGGGATGGTGTTGGATGCAAAACTGACAGATGCCAGGTTTGACGATGCAAAGGTGGAGAGGGAGGTGCGCGGTCTGATCGAGGGGTTGAAAGGGAGAAGGTATGACGAACTGGCATTACCTCCGCCATGGGGTCCTTCGTCGTCGTTACCGGCAAAGACTGAAAGTAGCAGAGCGGTGGCGGGGACGGCGAGAGAGGGGTCAAGCGTTCAAGACAAGTTGTTACATTGGCTGCGCACTGTTCTGTAGCACAGCGTATTGGAATGACGTCCTAGATAGCGTCTCGAGATCAGTCAGTGTAGACGCAGGAGGAAGCACAAGTCCGGCATTGCAGAAAGCATCTGACGTTTACTAGAGGGCCCTAGCTTCGTCTTGCACAGCAGTACAATGATTTTCCATTGTCATTCTTACAATACGCCAGCATTGCCATCGTCCGTTCGTACCCAAGAGCAGCACGAAGCTCTCCACGCTACTCTCTATGCGTTCTGCTCGTGATACGGCGCACATCCGACATGGGTCCATACCGTTCTCGCCTCGTTGCCAATGGACTGGCCTTGGAGAGTCTGATGCGACAAAGAGAACAACCTGAACCCTCTTTTATCGAGGCTCTAGAGAGGAAATAAAATCAAAATTAAAAAGTTAAAAAAAAGGGGGAGGCAAGGCGAGGCTCGGCGTCGAAGTGCATTTTCTTTGGTTGCCAACCCTCAGACACTTGGCAGGCTGAATTTTGTCCTCGCATCGCCAACACACAGCTCTGTTGCCTCGCTTAGAGCCAAAAAAAAGAAAGCAAGACAGCAACGCGCAGCAACACACACGCGGTCTGAGAGACACACACACACATACGCTCACACGCTCTGCTGTGCTGGTTCGGCATGAGTTCCGACACCTTGCTGTTCTCCTTCTCTATCGTCACCACCATCCTTGCTTAGCATCGTCTCGCTTTGATCGCGCTCAGCAGACTCTCCCCCAATTCGCACGATCCGAAGCTGGCTCTTCGGCAGATCACAAGTGCGCACACACCTTCTCTCTCTCATTCCCTCTTTGACTCAATTGCTCCACGTTCCATCTCTGCTTCGTATCTTTGCTCCGACTGCATCACATTCTCGGCCATTCGCATTCATCGTCGACCCGCGCCCGATCTAATATTTACTAAAGACCACTGCAATCATGCGTCGCTCTCATCCCACCGCCTTCGTCATCAAAAAGCGCGACAGCTGTGCTGTCTGCAACAACATCGCACCCTGCCCCGCCTGCCCCGCCGGTCAGCAATGCCAACAGATCTTCCGCTCTTCTTGCCAAGACTGTCCCGTCAACAAATGCGTCCCCATTCCAGGTTACACCGCTCACAAGAGCTCCAACAGCTCCGCGCTCGGAGGTGGGCTCGCCGCGCTCTTCATCGTCGCCATCGCAGCCGGTGTCGGGTTTTGGCTCTGGAAGCGACTCCAAGCTAAACGTCGTCGAGCTCTGCACGAAAAAGCCATGGAGCGACGCGAGAAGCTGAGGAATGAAAAGGAGACCATGACGCTTCAACTCGGTGCCAAGAAGTCTGATCCGAACTCGTTCGCCCTCGTCGACGAGGACGAGTTGGACAACGATACCGAATATACCCAGGTCACCGGCGTCTTGAACAACGACAAAGAGGGTTTGGGCTCGCTGGCCGAGCCCACCGCTTTCAGGAGGAGGTCGTTCGGTGCTGCTACGCATCTGTCGAGGATTACGGAGGGCGCCGAGGAGGAAGAAGATGATTCCGTGTCGCAGGCTGGTGGAATTGCCAACGGCAAACGCAACACAGTCGGATCAGTGCAGTCGAACGGTAAATCGTTTGCGAGCGGCGCTGGGCCACGCGTCAGTATTGGTTCTGGCACGAGCTTTGGCTCTCCCAACATCATTCCGATCGCTTTCAAGCCTTATACCCCTTCCACTCACTCTGGCGCCGCCGACGATGCTGCCAAAGAAGGATCTTTGGCCGACTACCAGTCCATCTCGCCCCTCGTCCTCCCCTCCACAGCCCATCGTGCGACCGGCGCACCCGCGATCCAAGTCAACACCTCACGTCAAGGTCCCGTCCGCCCCACCCGCGCACCCGACCTCAACCTCCGCCTGCCCGACTCCAACCGTCCTCACCAGCCCACCACATCCTCGCCTCTCTCCACCTCCCAACCCAACCCCGCACCCAACGCTTACGAGTTCATGTCGATCGACCCGGTCGAAACGCTCAAATCCTCCTCTTCCCACCCTTACACCCCCTCCAACCGTCCGCTCTCCGGCGCCACGATCAACACGATCAACTCGACCCACTCCACCAGCCTCTCGTACGTCCTCTCTGCACCGCAGGTCATCACCCCCGTCAGCGCAGAGGGCGTTCGTCGCGTGCAGCTCGGCAACGGCGGAAAAGCTCAACTGGTCAAAGTCTCCAGTGTCAAACGCAAACCTGCCCCCACCGCGGCTGATCCTTTCCGCGACCCAACCGAGGTGGAGGAGGATGGTGAGCTCGCTCCCCCTCCCTCCAACCGTTTCGGGGGTGATAGGTCGAGCACGCATTCAACGAGTACCTTGGGCATTCCGTTCGGCGAGAACCCGTTCGGGACGATCCAGCCGCCGGCGGATCAGACCAGCCCAAGCGATGCCGAGGAGAGAAGCTCCTGGTTGACGACCAACAAGGATCCGTTCCAGGATCCGAGGCCAAGCGATGCTGGAAGCGCGAAAGTGGGGGAAGAAGAACCGAGGGTCAGCATTGGAGGGTTGAGTCTGTTGGAGAAGTTTCCGTTTGACTTCAGTCGAGACGAGGAAAATTTGCCCGGAGATGCGTTGAGTAGGGTAGAGCAGTTCAAGTGATTCCCTTTTCCTGAAGAAATGGTCAACGTTTCCTACAGAATTCGGTTCGGTAGTGTTGAGTAGCGTGAAATGAGGTGTCGCTGCACACAGCCAAGGATTTGTGCTCGACGGTTCGGTCTAAAGGAACGCAATGTTCGGTAATGATTCGGGTTTTTGTATATGTACAAGTTCATCTTGCCTGCTCTGTCTATCTACGCATGCTGTTTTACTCCAAGTTCAACCTGTCACCTCGGACTTCGAGCACGATGGCACTGCCCTTCTTACTGGGCAGGACGACCATGCTCTGGTAGTCCGGGTCGGGGAATTCGCTCTCGAGCTGCCACTTGAACAACCTGACGAAGGTAGCGATGATGACGCCGATCTGGAGGTAGGCGAACTGTTCACCAATGCACCGGTGACGTCCTGCGCCGAAGGGGAGGTAGGGGCTGTTGGCGCCGGTGGAGATCATGCCGAAGCCGAAGTCTTCGGTTTCTTCGCCAGAGTCTTGCATGGAGGCGGCGGTGGCGGAGTCGAGCCAGCGATGGGGGTCGAATTCGGAGGAAGACTTCCAGATGAGTGGGTCGACTTGCGAGACTCCGGGGGCAGCCATGATGTAGTGACCGCGAGGGATGACGTACCCTGAATCGCCCGTGGAAGGGGCGGAGAGCGTGGCGGGTACGGCGAGATCCGTCTTGACATACCGCATGATCGAGTGCAGCGGAGGATGCAATCGCAGCGTCTCCTTCACCACCGCATCCAACAACGGAACCGCGGTCTTTTGCGTCTCGTAATCCAGCTCCCTCAGACTTCCATCCGCCTCACCGCCATACACCTTGACTTGCTCCTGGTACAGTTCTTCGATGATCTCCGGTTTGCTAGCCAAACGCAAGAACGCCCAACTGCTCGTAGCACTGCTGGTGTGTTGTCCCGCCATGAGGAGCGCGATCATCATGTGTGCGATCTCAACACCGCTGAGCGCACGTCCGTTCTTGTACTTTTGCTGCATCAGCGCGGCGATCATGTCGTTCTCTCCATCGCCCTCGTCCGAGTTGTGGCCGGATGCACGTCGTTTCGAAACAATGTCCTGGTAGAACTGCGACATCTTCTTCTGCGCCTTGTCGCGTTTAAAGTTGCTCGGAAGCGGCAGGTTGGGGATGACAAAGTTGATCGGGGTGAAGCCGGAGTCGAGATCGTGGTAGAGTTGAGCGAAGGACTTGTCGAGCCCTTGCCTGACCTCCTTACCCTGCAGCGTTCGCGAAGCAGTCAGGATGATCACCTCGCTCATCGCCTGAAAGATGTCCACCTTGATCTTCCTGTTCGACTTCAGCCCTTTGAACCTCGGATCGCTCTTGATGTACTCCTTGACCTCATCCACGATCTGCGGAACATACACCCTGAAGTTCTCCACCGACAATCCGACCTTGACAAACTTCTTCTGCTCCATAAACACGGCGTTGGGAACATCGTACACCACCTCCTTGCCGAACACGGGCGTCGTGAGGTGCGTGTACGCGTCTTCCGCCGTAACCTGCTGATGCTTTGCGTTGAACACGAGGTTGCTACCTTTGGGTCCCAAGGCGACGGTGATCTTTCGTCCGAGCAGAACAAAGGTGAACACGTCGCCGTACTTGGCCCGACATTCGAAGAAGAACTTGTACGGATCAATGCCGTAGTAGATCGCGGATCCGATCACCGGAACAAAATGGAACACCACTGGCGGCGAAGACTTCGACGGTGGAAGCAGCACCTGCGATGCGACGTTCAGCACGATCGCCAGGACAGGGAGGACGATGAGCAGCGCGATGGTCTTGACCGAGGCAGACGAATCGGCCAGAGGGGTGAAAGCGAACAGCTGGTCGATCAACGACGCTGTCGCGGATGAGGACGCGAGCATGATTCTTGCAGCAGATCCCTCAGGACGGTCGATGGATAAGTGGTGGTTAGAAACCAAAAGGTCGAGCTGGAAGATCTTGGCTCGATAAAAGCAACACGCGCCATGCACGACGAAGAAACACAACACACACACACACACACACACACACACGCACACGCATGCGCTGCGAAAATCATCTCATTTCTGTTCGGAAAGCGCGTGCGTGTGTCGCTGTGTGTTTGAGAAGATTTTCCTTTCCCACAGCCAACCAATCATTCACGCCGCGTTTTGGCTCTTGCGTGTTCTGAGGCCCAAAAATCGGATGATCCGCGCCAACCTTTTTTCACGGCCACGCCCTTAGATCGAATCGAAATTTTTGGTTGGCTCGCCACACACGCATCCATCGGCGATTGCGATTCTTCAAACATCGTCGTCACTGCGGTATCACATCGATGCATCAAGTACGCCTCGCACTCCACATATGCTCAGTTGCATTCAAGCGTCTCAATTCTCACTCTTCACGGCAAATCAAAGAGATAAACGCTGAACGAACGGTGACATTTCCAATCAATCAACAAAAAAGTACAAGCTGTAAGGGAAAAAAGTGTATGGGGGGTATATGCAGCACCAAGTGACCAGAGAGCCATTGCAATCACTTTTGAAGGTAGTAGTCCGAGCTCGACACCTGCTGAACTGCCGGAGTCTCACCCTTGAAGTCCGAACCCTTTTCAAGATCGCTTCCGGTTCCGGTCTGCGAGCCCTGCTCCTCGGGCAACTCGGGTCCGTGCCACATGTCAGCCTCCCAGCTCTCGGGCTCCAGGAAGTCCCTGTGCTCTCGCAGCGACACTCCACCAGGGACAGGCGATACTTCGCAGATGGCGATGTACACCAATCCAGAGACAAGGAAGCCAATGGGGTAGGCGAGGATGTACATCCTTTGCGCAGTGACCGAGACCTCGGCACCCAGTACACCGGCGAATCCAGCGACGGTCATGGCGATACCTGCAATGTACGAGGCAAACGCGCGGAAGTTGATGCCGTTCCAGTAGTGGTACATGTGAGGCACCTGCGGGTTGCTCTTACCGGAGCTTGCAGAGAAGAGCGAGGGCACGTCGAGCTTTCCACGTTTCACGATGTAGTAGTCGGCCATCATGGTACCGGACAGACTCGAAAGGAACAGCGAGTAGGCCGAGAGGTAGGTGGCAAAGTTGTTGCTGTCCTTGAGCAGGTTCCAGGGGCACATGGCGAAGCCGACTGCGCAGCAAATAAGGGATCCACGTCGGATGTTGATGTACCTCGGGAGAGCAGCAGCAAGATCGTGACCAGCAGAGAGCGAGTTGGCGGCGATGTTGACACCGATCTGGCCGATGATGAAGGCGAAAGCGATGAAGAACACACCGGCTCTGGCCTTGGAGTCGTAAGGGTCCGCCTTCAATCTCTGTCCAAGCAGAAGCACAGGGTTCCAGATCTGCTCGCCGTAGATGACCTGACTCGAACTGGCAATGATAATACCCAGGAAGCTGGTCAACGAGAATGTCAGAGGGATGGCGAGGATCTGCGACCAGGTGACCGATCGCTTGTTTTTGGCCATTCGCGAGATGTCTGGGATGTTGAGGACCAAGGTAGCCATGTTGGAGATGCACGAGAAGAGCGAAGCCAGGAACTGCCACGAGAACTTGGTGCCCTTGAGCGTGGCGGGCTGGTGGACGATGGGACCGAGACCCTTGGCGTCGGCGATGGACCATGCGAAGAAGGCGATGGCTGCAATGGGCACAACGATCGACTTGAAGTTGAAGAAGAATCGGATCTTGGTAGGGTGGATGATGGCCAGGGGAACGCTGATGAGCGAGAAGAGGAAGAACGAGAGGAACTGCTGCGAGGTGACGCCGGCGCTTTCGGGCAGGTGGTTGGGAATCCTTGCGTAGCTGGGGAACATGCTCTCCAAGACCAAGGTGACACACTGTCCGCCGATGTACGACTGAACACCATACCAGATACAAGCCATCGCGCTACGGTTGACGATGGGCCAGATGGCACCCCAGACACCAAAAGTGCTGCGGGCGAGGATCGGGAACGAAATGTGGTAGACGGCACCGATGCGGGCGGTCATGACAACCAAGAATGCGACGGCAAAGTAGCCGACGATGATGGCGGCCCAAGCCTGGGACCAGGTGAGACCAGCCGAGACAGCGGTCGAGGCGATCATGAAAGTGTTGAGGTTGAGACCGTCCGAGATCCAGAAGGCGGTAAAGTCGATCCAGCCCCAAGTACGGCGCTCGGGGGGCACCGGAAGCAAATCGGCGTTGCGCAGCATGGCATTGCCACGCGACTCGCCGGGACGACGCTCGGAGCCCTTGATGGCGATTGCGTTGGCGGCACGCTTGACCAGCGTCATTGTGGAGACGACAAGGAGTGGGAGGAGGGGGGAGGTGGTGGTTATTGATGGGTGAAGAGATGGGGAGACAGAGCAAGGAAGATGGGATTTAGGTCAAGGTTATATGTCAAAGCTGTCAAGTGGGGAACGTCAGTTAAGTTAGCATTTGCCATCATGCAATGCGCCGTAGTTTCAGGATGTACAGCACACACGACGCATCTCCCGCAGCGGACGAGATAAGCTTGCAGATGAAGGACGACCGCGTGGCAAAGTGTATGCGTATCCGTATCGCCGTTACAGTGGTCCTCGCTTCACCGTCGGGAAGGTTGATTTGTCCATGTAGCCGAGAGCAATGAAAGCGATTGCGGGTCTCGACTGTTGACAAGGAAGCGGCAACTCGAGCGAGCTTCGCTGCCATCTTGCCTAGCGAGAAGATGAGCCGAACCGGGCCAATGGACGGCTAGATCGCGGCGTGGTACACTGTATCGCCAAGACGCAGGCCGAATCCTTATCTCTGCGACGCCGATTATTGGCTCAAATTCGGAAACTTGCCCGCCGTGTGTGACAAGAATGTGGAGACCGAAAAGTCGAATTTTTCATCTTTGCGGGTGGCGAAGGGCAAAGGCGAATATTGCGATTTGTGATTGGATCCCGCGTTCAGCTGTCAAACAAAACTGGCGGAGATGCGGCCGAGTTTGCGTGTGCCGAACCAAGAGCGGAAAGGCGGGCGAGATCATGTTGCGTTGCACTGCACTGTACGCTAGCTGCACTCATGCGCACTGATACAGCAAGGTGATTCCCCCACCTCATACAGAGCCACCATGAAAGCCCGTATCGAACGCCGTCGGGTGGCACCGTTGGGCTCGCGGCACGCGCCAACCTATCACACTATCACGCTCTCTTCGTCCGCACTCTGACCACGCCGCAGTTTGCAAACATTGTGTGTGCATCAAGTGACGTCGCGATGTCGACGTCTTGCAGCCATGTGCGCCTCGGTCCCGCTGCTCTGCCATTGTTTCAGCCCCACATTGAGCGAAGCTCGCATCATTGGTTGCCTTCTTCGGCATGCCTGTTCTTCCGGTCATCTCGGCCTCTTCAGAACCTTGATGCGCTTCCCAGGGCGCTCCCTCGGCCGTGTACCGCTGTGCTGGTCTCGAGAACACGATAGCGAACTCGGCCGCTGCATCCCCACTCTTGTCCCGTCCTCTCATCTTCCGTATCTATCTTTACGCTCCGACTATCAATCTGCCTCCTTGCTCCATCTACATTGCGCTCGGTCCATGCTTTCACATTCGCTCTGACTTGGCTGCGGCCGGGCATGCAGGAACCTCGGATCAGTTCACGCGTGGCATTGCGTACACAGTGTCCAGTTGACGAGGCGTTGATTGCAAAGCTACAACGTGTGCGCTTGTACTTGGTTCTAGACCCGCTTCAAGCGACCTGTCGTCCCGCTATCTCCCCCGCTATCTCGCTCATATCGATGTCCAACAAAGTGGCAACCTCGGCAATGCTCTGACTCTGCTGCTCGCTATACAGCGCAAAGTAGTCCAAAATAGTACCGCCTACTGCAGCCTGCAGCATAGCCCTCGCTTCCGATGTATCTTTGACCTTGTCCGGCTGCACGCCAACGCTCTTCTCGTTCGGCTGCTGCGAAGCCACTGCAGCTTGAGGCAGATTGCTTTGAAAGATACCGGCCGCCGAAGCGGGGAGAAAGTCCTCATACGTGATAGGCTCTGCATCGAGCGCTTTGCTCTTGATCATATCGGCTAGCGTGTCCAACGCCTCTGCATCCTGTTCCTGACGCTGCCACATGTCTCTCGCCGTCTCGACGTCCTTGATGCTGAACGTGAAGAAGCCCAATCCTTGTCGTAGCAGCTCATCTTTGCTATCCGGGAATCCTTCCTCGAAGACTTTGCGCAAGATCTGCACGCACTCTTCCTTGCCAACCTTTGCTCCCCTCTGCTTCTCGACCTCCCTCTTCTTGTTCGACACCTCGTCCATCAGTGAGTCGTACAATGCAGCACCTTTGCGTGTCAAGGCTTGGCCTCTCGCCTCGATCTCTCCAAACCTCGCCTTGTGCTTGCCCTCCACCAAGCCTCCCTCGCCACCCGAGAACTCGACGCTCTCCGACAATGCGTGGAAGCTCGTCTGCCTCAGATATACCTCGTTCTCCCGCTTCGGTGGACCCTCGATGACGTCCTTCGCATCGATACCGCTGGTGATCATGGTGCGCTGTACTTGATCAATGTCGAGCGTTCTCGGAGTCAGGTGGTTGATGTGGGGACCTCGGAAGCTGACAATGTCAGCAACTAGCGGATGCGTTTTGGCGAGCAAGTTGTACTCATCCAACGAGACCGGTGTGTCCTTGTGCCAAGCGAAGATGTCGACGACCCTTTCGACGAATTCCAGGGCCTCCTCCCTCGTCAAGCCATCCACCTTAACCTCTGCCTCTCGAACACCGTCCCGAGACTGACCCTGTTCGGCTTTGACGAGCAAATTGATGCATCTCTCGGGAACAATGCTTCTCTTCCCCAACAGCTCCTCGGCCAACCCTCTCGTCTCTCCGTCCTGGATGCAGTCCATCCTCAAAAGGCTGCAGAAGATTCGGAACGGATTCTTGACCAAATTTTCCTTCCCCACAGGTCTAAACGCCGTGGCGTGGATGGGCAGCTTTGCATCGCGCCACAGATCGTAGTATCCCACCGGATGCATTCCAAATACCTTGAAGATTCTCGCCAGAAGTGAAAGCTCTTCTGCGGTGCCGACGCGGATCGCGCCGTGACGTTCGACGTACAGCCGCGAGATCTCGTCATCACTGATGGTGTTGGGCGAGGCGCGAATGAAGTCCGAGTTGATGCTGGCGATGATAGATAGCAGTTGACCGTACAGAGGAACTTCGCTGCGGTACATGGTCGACATGGACGATGCGAGCAGGGCGCGCATCTGGGTGCTCGTCAAACACTTGCTCGAGCAGAACGAGGAGGAGGAAGAAGAGCTGTCATCGGTGCTACTGAGCGCAGGCAAGGTCTGGGTCTGAGACTGCTCAAAACTCGCAGAGAGGTCGAGAGCTGCGCTCGACTTCCCAGTCGGCGCTGGTGGGAAAGAACCCGAGGCAGAGGCCGTGGCGACGTTCTGCATGACCATCTTGTTGACTTTGCGAAGGCGCTTCTTGTCGACGATCGCAGTGGTGTCGTTGTTGGCGCGTCGAGGTTGCAACGCGTCCAGAGAGCTGCGTAGGTACAATTGGGCTATCGATGGATGTACGTCGCACCGTTCTGCGGCTGTTCGACTTCGATGACGTTGCTGTCTTGGGCTGCTTTCCGCAGAATCGTTTTGTTGAGAAGAGGTGGCGAGAGAAGAGATGAACGTATACCTTGGAGCACTGTCGGTGGCATACATAACAGGCGAGGAGGTGGAGGAGCTGGCTAGCAAACGCTCATTTGTGTACTGTGTGCTCTGCGTCGTAGGAAGTGGAGGATGATCTGTGGTCGATGACCAGCGAAGAGGGATCCTAGCTTTTCTGATATATGTTTGTCACGTCCTAACCTAGTCTTGCACGGCATCGGCGTGCTTGCAGCAAGGGTATCAGCACAACGGCAACTTGTTCGGCAGACCGATGACCTGTGAAACGCTCCGCAATGAGCGAAGTGCGACAGACGGCAACGTCTAAGCTTATCAGTCAGGACCAGCATCAAAACACGGACAGGGGCCAAAGGAGAGATAGCAGATCGCGCTGTTTGACAAGCCGAAGCCGACTCTTTCACAACCACATGACACACAGGCACGCGGCCTCTTCCTCCCTCTCTCCCTCTCTCTCTCTTCTGCCCGTCCATCGCTTTCGCTGTCATGTGCTACTACTGTATTTGGCCAAATGTAGAGGCTCAGGCGAACAAAGAGTGGCATGCTTCAAACGATGACCGAGAGGCTCGAGCGAGCTGCCGGCTTGTCGGCGAACAGTAACAAAGCACGGCGAAAAGCCGATAGGAAATAGGGAGCGCGTTGGCTGTCACCGTATGCGCTCAATTCGGTATTTTGCCGAAAGTAGGCGAGATGGCTTGAGGCGGCCTGATAGGGGAATTCGGCAATTCTCCGTGTCATTGGCATCCATCACGCATTCCGCCCCCTGCAACCAGCTTAGCGGTCAGCATCAGTTAGTTGGCACCGATACTTTGGCTGCTGACGAACTAACCGCGTGACTGCGGTGGTCGACTGTTTCAGAACCCCTCGCCCGCTGGGCAGATCGACGTGGCAATGGAGTGATGGATATCAAACCGGGATAGGCACAAAAGCCTCAGAGCCGAAGTCACCGTCGTCAAGTGCAGATCAATTCACGCTCGCTTGTGCCCAAGCTGTCACTTTCTGCGCCGAGGGTTCTCTCCTTGTGTCACAATTTAGTTCAACCTCTGTGTTCCCAGCTCGTCGGGGGATGTGACACCGGTAGAAATGCTTGCAATGTGATGCACCGGATCGCATTGCGCCGCTGAGCTGCTGAGCAAGGTGACATGAACACACGAGAGAGAACTAGAGAGAACCTCGGCCACCACTCTCGCTGTACAGAGAGCTCGGGGCTTCGCTCGTGCTGGGCATATAAGATGCTCGACTCAGCCGGACGCAAGGTCCCCTCAGACGATTCTTGCCACTGACTTGCTCTCATCGTAGATCGAGTGGCCATTACCTGGCTTATCACCAACCGTACACTCCTACATCCGTGCAAAACAGCCCTCAAAATGCCTGAGCCCATCGCAACCCCTGCAGCACCCGTTGCTCCCGCCGTTGCCACCAAGACGATCGCCGAGCCCACCACGATAGGGTCGGTATTCGCCTCGCTGGGTCTGCCTGCTCCCGGGTCCAAGATTCCTGGTGTCTTCGATGGCACCACTTGGACGCATGGTGCATCCACCTCGTCTACTCTGACTTCGGTCAACCCCGCTACTGGCGCCACGCTCGCTACCGTATCCTCGGCTACCTCGGCCCAAGTCTCGTCCGTAATTGCCGCAGCTCACTCAGCCCAGCGCAAGTTCGCCATGGTCCCCGCTGCCACTCGCGGTGCGGTCATGAAAGACATCTGCGCAGCTTATCTCGAACACAAGCATGCTCTCGGCGCCTTGATCTCGTACGAGATGGGCAAAGTTCTTTCCGAAGGCAAAGGAGAGGTACAAGAGGTCATCGATGTGGCTGATATGGCCGTCGGGCTGTCAAGAAGCATCGCAGGGTCCGTCTTGCCTTCTGAACGCCAGGGACATGTTATCTACGAGATTCCCAACCCGCTCGGCCTGGTGGGCGTCATCACCGCCTTCAACTTCCCCGTCGCCGTTCACGGCTGGAACTTCTGCCTTTCCTTCGTCTGCGGCAACGCTACCATCTGGAAGCCTTCGCCCACCACTCCCTTGACAGCAATTGCCACCACGAAGCTCATCGTGAAGGTCCTCGAGAAGCACAACCTCCCCGGCGCGCTCGCCTCGCTTGTCTGCGGTGACGTCGAGACCGGTCAGACACTTACGCGCGACGCCCGCATCCAATTGACCTCGTTCACCGGCTCCGAGCACATTGGCAAGCTCGTAGCGCAAGATGTTGCCGCTCGTCTCGGAAAGATCCTCCTCGAGCTCGGCGGCAACAATGCGGCCATTGTACTCGACGATGCGGATCTTGATCTTGCCGTCCCTGGAGTCGCGTTTGCTGCTGTTGGAACCGCTGGTCAGAGGTGCACCACCACGCGTCGTCTGCTGTTGCAGCGCGGTATCGCGGATCGATTCCTGGAGCGATTGGTCAAGTTCTACACTTCATTGCAGCAGAAAAACTTGATCGGTGATCCGACCGATTCCAACATCCTATGCGGTCCATTGCACTCCAGAGCTGCCGTTGAGAAATACTGGCAGACGCTCGACACGATCCGCTCCACCGGCGGAAAGGTCATCTTTGGTCCGGAGTCGCAATCTTCATCTGGTCTGCCGTCTCACCTAGTCCAAGGCAAAGGCAACTTTGTCTTGCCTGCCATCACGATTCCCTCAAGCTCCACCGACAAGGTCTTCCAGGAGGAAGTCTTTGCCCCCATCCTCAACGTCGCGCTCTTCGACACGCTCGACGAAGCCATCGCGCTCAACAACGATGTGCGTCAAGGACTCTCGAGCTCGCTCTTCACTTCGAAGCTGACCAACATTGGAGAGTGGCAAGGTGCACTCGGAAGCGATTGCGGCATCGTCAACGTCAATGTTAGCACGAGTGGAGCAGAGGTGGGTGCTGGCTTCGGAGGCAACAAGGCGACCGGTTGGGGAAGAGAGTGCGGCGGTGACGCGTGGAAACAGTACTGCAGGTGGGCGACGAGCACGGTCAACTACAGCAGGAAGGTGGCGCTCGCCCAGGGAGTCGTGTTTGATGCCTGATTGCAGTGCACAGAAGGAGATGATGTTGCAATGATAACGTGATGCCATGCTCGTGAGATAGAACGTGTCCAGTCGTGTGTGATGGATGTGATGTCAGAGTGCTTCGCCATCCAGATCTTCTTCCTCGTCGATGCTTGTCGATTCATCGTGCTTGACCGCAGGCGAATTATTCTCGCTAAAGGCTTTACTATCCACATCCTCCCGCTCTTCCACGATCGCTTTGTCCGCCGCCCTACCTCCTTGTAGCTGGCTTGCCACCGGCGGACACTCAAACACCCTCCTGCACCTCTCTAACACATCCGGGGCAACCACGATCCAGCCCTCCCACACATCCAGCACCTCCCTCACTTTCCGCTTAAACTCCTCCCTCCTCATCCTCCCCTCGAACGTCCTCGCCACCATGCCCAGGTGCGCGAACACCAACGGCAGCTTTTCCTCCACCGCAGCTCTGTACCTCCACGCGTTGGAGATCGGGGTTCCGGAGTTGTGGAGGAGATCGCTGATGCAGTAGAGGCGGGCGAGTTTTCGGGGGATCGGGATGGAAGGTTGGAGGAGCGAGGAGGTGAGGATGTCGACGATGGAGGGGTAGGAGGAGGAGTGGTCGAGGGCGAAGGATGTGATTCGGGCGATGCGTTCTCTGCGCGGGGTTAGAGAGCGTAGCATGGAGCAGAGGCGGTGGTGGGCTAGGGGAGCGAGTGGAGTGGTTGAGGAGGAGGAGGAGCGGGAGGTGAAACGTCGGGTTTCGGATTCTTCGCCGGAATCGGTCGAGTAGAGTTCGTCGCTCCCGTCGTCGTCGAACGGTTTTTGCTGCAAGTCCTCGTTGACGGCCGAAGGTACATAGTACTCGTCCAGGCAGATACGAAAGTACTGGTGAAGCAACGAATCCGGTTCGAACAGAAACGCAAACCTCGGATTATCCGCCTCCCTCTCCCTCAACACATTTTCAAAATTTACCCCGTTCGCTCGGATCCTCGATGCCACCGTCTCGACAAACAACCTTTGCGTCTCCTCACACTCTCCACCCAGCCGATCTCTTATCTCTTTCCTCCTTTCTTCCCTCCCCTTGCCGTTCCTACGATGTCGTATGACAAGTTTCTTGACACCACCACCGCCAACCGAACCGATCTTTTCCTCCTCTTTCTCCACCTTCTTTCGCTGCGGATACAACGCTCGCTTGGGCAGACTCATCGCTTTCCCCCAACTGCATTTGACCCTCACTCCACCCCACGTCACCCCATCCACCTCCCTAAACGCCCTCTCGGCATGATCCCTCGTCATGTACGCTACGAATCCTGTCAACCCACCCGGCCTCTCCCTCTGCTGATCGCCTCGAGGCCACATGATCTTGACGGTAGCTACGTCGCCCCACTGCGAAAAGAATTCGCCCATGCTTCTCTCGTCGATGTTGGGAGGGAGGGAGGGAATGCAAATGTTGGTGGTGAGTGGATCGGCAGAAGCGGAAGGATTTTGGGAGGGGAATTTGGTGGTGGTGGTGGTGGATTCTTGAGCTAGGAGGGAGGATATGGAGGTGTTGGTGGTAGAAGCTAAGGTGGAAAGACGCGATTCTCGTTGGGCCTGTTCGAGTTGAAGTTCGGTGAGGAAGCTCGACATGGGACGAGGTTTTCTCGCTGGTGGTTGGGACGGGCTTTCATCCGGCTCCTCCGCAAAGACGGAATCTCGCTTCATCGGCGAAACCTTTACCACTTCCGCTTCACTTGCCTCACCCCTCGATCCAACATACTTCTTCCCTCCAGCACCAACGAACCCCACCGCTTTCCTCTTCCGTTGCTCTCCCCCCGCTTCCCGCTCATCTTGGTCCCCACCCATCGCAGCGACAAACTCGTCGTAGGCGGTCTTGGCATCCTGCTCGGCCTGCTTCTTCTTCCTCTCTTCCGCCTCGCGTTCCTTTTGCACGCGAGACTTGGTCTTGCCAGCACCGTGTTGGAATTTCTCCTTCTTGAGCTGTTCTGCGAGCTCGAGTTGGTGGGCTGATGTGGAGAGGTGGTCGTTGTGTCTTTGAGCGCGGATGTAGGCGAGCACGTCGGCGTCTGGTTGTGGTGAGGGCGATCTACGATGGTGGTGGTTGTCGAGACGAGATGAGGAGGGAAGGTGGTGGAGAGGTGCCGCGCGGTGGGAAGGGTTGCTGGGACCGGGATGCTCGGAATAGTCGAGCTCGACGTCGTCGTCGTCGTTGTAGCCTAGATCGATGCGAGATGGACGCGACGGACGAGCGCCGTAGCTGCCACTGCCACCTGAGGCCGACATTGCCGTGTACGATGAATGTCTGGGATGTTGGTGTAAGGATGGGCAGCTGTCGAACAATGCTCCCTCGCACCAACTTTTGGACCCTGAATTCCTCCTCCACCTCCTCTCCCTTCCCTTCCCATTCCGGCCGATACACTCCCCTCTCACCCTTTCCGCAGCTTTTTCCCTTTCCCCAAGAGTGTACTCGTCTCGAAAAAAATCTAGAAAAGCAAATCGTGTCCGACGTTGAATCTTCCTTCTTCTCTTCTCCTTAACGCAAAGTCGTGCCCCTTTAGGAGGGGGTACGCACCCCGTCTACTATAAAAGCACCTCTTCGCACTGGCAATCTTTTCTAAGGAAAGGACAGCCGAGGACCGTACGAGGCCGTAATGCTGGACGGAGATCCATACCACCCCAACAGGTGGGACGATGGGAATGGGTGCGTCGTAGGTAGAGGTACGCCCTTCGTTGGCGATCCCATGACCTAGGTCGCAAGTTCTCGTTGTACATTTCCATCCGCTCTCTCTCTCAGATCTTCTCGCTTTTCCCCGCCGCTCCTGCCCCTTCCCAAGATAGTGTATATGTTCCATGATTCGATGTCGAAATCAAGAAGGTGTTTCGGTCGTCTAGTTGCAAAGGTCTGCTAATATCTAGGTTGTTTGGTATTTCAGTCTAACAACTTTGCTGAAATCCAGCTGCTTGTGCAAGACTGTCACATCGGAGAGGCACCGCGTTGCATTGGGTGTTGGACCCTGAAATCACACTCTTTCTTTGCCAAAACTGAGCCTTGATGGCTTACGTCTCTGCTTGCCACCATCGTCCTCCTCCTCGACATCGAAGCTGGCTCATCAACCGACTCGACTGCGACACACCGCGTGATGCTGCTGCAGCTTCGTGCACACAGAAGCAGCCGTTCGCTATGAGTTCGACGGCTCAGCTGGTGGAATGTCCCAGCTGTCAACTCAAGCTGCCCCTCTCACAGCTCAATCCGCATCTCGACCGATGTCTTTCCGCTGAGACGTCTCCGAACGGCAAGGCGGACCAATGGAGCGGTATCTTTCCCAGCTCTTCTACATCACAGGCGTCACCTCGAGGCTCGAAGCGGCCAATCGAAAGCACAGCGCAAGCCACCCAGCTCGTCAACGATGCGGCTGCTCCTGCCAGCGATGGCGATACTAAGCGACTCAAATCCGACCCGAGCCTCAACGGTCACGCCGCCACCTCCAACAGCAATGGCACTTCGAACGGACACTTTCAACTACCTCAGCCAGTAGCCTCCACCTCGCGCAGTCGCATCGATGCAGCCAAACCCTTTGCCGAGCGAATGCGACCCCAATCGCTCGACCAATACGTCGGCCAATCCGACGTCGTCAACGGCCCCCTCAAAATGCTCCTTCGCCAAGGCAAGATCCCCTCCATGATCCTCTGGGGTCCACCCGGAACCGGCAAGACCACTCTCGCCCGTCTCTTGGCTAAATCAGCCTCTTCCCCGTCATCATCGTCATCCCAAGCACCGCCACCACATCGATTCGTAGAGATTTCCGCAACCAACTCTGGCACCTCCGATGTCAAGAAGATCATGGATGAAGCTCTTCATCGGCTCCAGCTCACCGGTCAACGCACGCTCCTGTTCATCGACGAGATCCAGCGCTTCAGTCGTGCCCAGCAAGACGTGTTCCTACCCGCGGTCGAGAAGGGACAGATCGTGCTCGTGGCAGCTACCACCGAGAACCCTTCGTTTCGACTGCAATCCGCTCTCATTTCGCGGATGCGCGTGTTCATCCTCACCAAACTCAGCGTCGACGAATGCTGCCAAGTCCTACGAAATGCTTTAGCTTGTGTCAAGCAAGAGTCTCTGGACGGCGCTGAAGACGCCTCGGTAGCGACGCACATCGACGAAGATCTGATCCGTTGGATCGCCAACATGGCCGACGGAGACGCTCGTTCCGCATTATCCGCCCTCGAACTCGCGCTCTCCACCACCGACCCATCTCTGCCACCTTCATCGAACCTGACGCGTCTCAAAGCAGCGCTCAAACGCACCGCCCTCCAGTACGACCGAACCGGCGACATGCACTACGACACCATCTCTGCGCTGCACAAGTCGATCCGCGGGTCGAACCCGGACGCGGCGCTCTACTGGCTTGCGCGCATGGTGTGCTCCGGCGACGACCCGCTCTTCATCGCGCGCCGTCTGATTGTCGCTGCTTCCGAAGATGTCGATACGCTCGAAGCGCTGCAGATGGCTACGGCCACGTACACCGCCTGTCAGGTGGTCGGCCTGCCGGAGTGTGGCGAGAATCTGGCGCAGTGCGTCGTCTTCCTGGCCGAGGCAAGCAAGAGCACGAGGAGCTACAGAGCGTGGAAGAAGGCGAAAGCCCTCGTGGAGGGCGGGTACAACGAGCCGGTACCGATGCATATCAGGAACGCACCGACGAAGCTGATGAAGGATCGCGGGTGGGGCAAGGAGTACAGGTACGAGCCGAGGTTTGCACATCCCGTCCATCAAGAGTATTTCCCAGAAAAGCTGAGGGGCACGAGGTTCCTGTCCCCGCCACCAGAGGAACAACCCCAAGAGGAAGAGGAAGCACAGACGGACTGGCATCACAAATCCATGCAGACGAAGATGGAGAGCACAGCAGGAGTGGGTCCGGGATCGTGCCAACGCATCTTCGAGCTGGGCGCACGATCGGTCGATCTGGATCTGTTGGACGAATGGGAGCGAGAACGTAACGGCGGTAAGGAATGGAGTGGTAGGAAACGGCTGCACGAGTTGTTGGATAGAATGCAAGCGGAGGAGCAGGACGCGAAAGAGGGGCAAGTGACGTAATGAAGAGTTGTTTTGAGGGAGTAGGTGGATATGTACAGAGTTTATGGTCGTGTTTGAGAGAGAGAGTCATGGTCCTGAAGAGCAAGGGTGGTGGTGGTTTACTTGCGACCGTAGACGGTCTTTCGACCGAGATCGAAGGGGACGTACTTGTGACGGATCATGTGTCTGTACCGAGCGAAAGTAATTCCCATCTGGTTAGCGATACCGTTTCTTCTATCTTCGACCAGCTCTTTGAAACTTACTTGATCTGTCTTCGCATGGTGATGGTGAACAAAATGCAGAAGTACATCAAAAGGATCGGCCAGAAGACGGGTACGTCGAATGCGCTGCTCATTGTCGCCAGAAGACTCAGTACGATGGCCTGCGTTGCTGACAACCAGAACTTGAACTCTGGCAACCTCCTGATGAACGGTCTGAACTCGTCGTCGCCCGAGCTCCCATTCAACCCTGCACCACCTGCACCTCCGAACACACCGCTCATCAACCCGCTCCCACCACCTCCCCCGGAGGATGCCTTTGAGGCGGACGTGGGCAGACCTGGTTCTCCCTCCTCTACATCCTGTTCTGCGAGATCCGCCTCGTAACTAGGATCGAACTTCGGTGTCAGGAATGCGAGGAACAGGTTGAGGAGGTAGATGAACAGAGCATAGCAGACGATGTACCACCCCTGCGACAGGACGATTCGGAGCAAAAAGATGAAGAGCAGAAAGGCGGAGGCACCCCAACGATGGAGAGGGTAAGGGGTGGTTTGATCGAGGAACGACTGGTAGCGCTGTTGGAGCTGGTTGGTTTGTGCGAGAAACTGTTGGATCTGAGGTGGGGCGGTGGAGCCGAGGCCGTCGTCTGGATTGTCGGCTCTCATCATCTTTGCCTGCGAGTAAGGATCGGATGGAACTGATGTGATGAATGAAGGAAGAGGATGACAAGGAGATTGAGTGTTTGAGAGAGTGTTGATGATGCAGGCTGATCCCGAATGCCGAGCTGTGTGCTGCTTGCCAGAGTTCCAACACACGTTGAGAAAAGCATTTCTTCTTCGGGTTCACATCACCAACGCGCGACACCCTCTCGCTCTCTTTCGCCGACAGCAAATGCACCGACCGCACAGCCCTTGTTCGACCCAAAGACTCAGCCTTCCACGCGTCTCTCCCACAAGGGTCCTGTCTCTATGAAAGCCGGTCGTGATGCGCGCTTCTCCTTGGGTTTTAAACGAAAATGTTACACCGAGGCGCAGAAAGAAAAGCCAAGAAATTGTTTGTCGACAAGTCGTTATCGCGGCGCGGAAGATCCGAAACCCTGGAAGCTCAAAAAGAGGGTCCGGGAGCGAGCAGGGAAACCGATCCTGCAGGTAAAGTTACAGTTCCTGTGTGTGATTATTTTTCGTGCGTCATCCCGCGGCAGATGTGCAGCCGCCGACAAGGAACGGCTGTCAGCAACAGTACAACAGCTTCAAGAGTCTGGCAAGCAGAGCCAGTCAGGGCGGCGGTTGTGCCGATGTCGTTGAGATCGCACATGCTCACGCCAAGTTGCTCCTGCCATCGGAACATTTTGCCGATTGACGTGCAAAGCGAGTTGTGTTCATTCATAAATTGGCGACTGTCGTTCTTCTCAAGGTGTCCCTGATCATCGTCTGCCCCCATCATCGTCACTACCATAAACACCGATCTCGTTGCCGCAAGCCTCCCGTCGGCATCGGCTGCTCCGTTCTCTTCAACATGGTCGCCGCACGCGCTTGGTCTAGTCTCCCTGCTCCACGCGCTGGCATTCGCACTCTGCCAGCGACTCTGCCGCGATCCACCTTCTCATCCTCTGCGCGAGTCCGCAGCGCATCCACGCCGCTCAATGAAGCTGCCGGAGCTGCGCTCCCCAAGAAGGCAGGCATCATCCGCAAGACCCTCCGCTTCACAGGCTACACCGTCGGCTCCATCGTCTTTGGCCTCACCGCAGCCACCGGCATCATCCTCGCACACGATGCCCTCACCTACCGCGAAGCACACGTCGGAAACGTCCCACTCAACCCGCTGGCGCTTTCTCCCAAGACCGGTGGTCCCAAGAATCTGCCCATTCTCTCGTCCTATCCTGAGGATGAGCAGGATGAGATCAGCAAGAAGCTGGCCGAAAAGGAGAGGCTCGTCATCGTGGGAGGTGGCTGGGCAGCTGTCGGGTTGCTCAAGTCGCTCGATCCTGAAAAGTACAACGTCACCCTGATCTCGCCCAACAACTACTACCTCTTCAACCCGCTGCTTCCTTCCGCTGCTGTTGGCACCGTCGAACCCAGATCGCTCATCGAACCTATCCGCAAACTCCTCGCTCGCGTCCACGGACACTACATCCAAGGCTTCGCCACCGACGTCGTCATGGGCGAAGACGCACTGCAGAACACCGGCTCCGAGCGCCTTCTCGAAGTCAACGTCATCAGCGGCGACGACTGGGATGGCGAGACCCTCTGCGGCGGCGGCACCGGCTCCGAACGCAAGGAGACCGTCGGCAAGAGCATCTACGTACCCTACGACCGCCTCATCGTCGCCGTCGGCAGCGTCACCGCCAACCACGGCGTCCCCGGACTCGAGAACTGCTTCCACCTCAAGACCATCGGCGACGCACGCAAGATCCGCTCGCACATCCTCGACAACCTCGAGATCGCCGCGCTCCCCACCACCTCGGAGCAGGAACGCAAGCGGCTGCTCAGCTTCGTCGTCTGCGGCGGTGGTCCCACGGGCGTCGAGACGGCGGCAGAGATCTCGGACATGATCAACGAGGACGTGTTCGACTACTTCCCCAAGGTGCTCCGCTCCCAGGCGCAGGTTCACCTGATCCAGTCGCGCGAGCACATCCTCAACACCTACTCTGAGAAGATCTCCGAGTACGCTGAAGCCAAGTTCGCCAGGGATGCGGTCGACGTCATCGTCAACGCCCGCGTCAAACGCGTCGAACCGGACCGCGTTGTCTACACCACCAAAGACCCCCGCACCGGGTCCGTGACGGAACTCGAGGTTCCCTCCGGCTTCACCCTGTGGTCGACCGGCATCGCCATGTCGCCCTTCACACGCCGAGTCACCGAGATCCTCCCCAACCAATCTCACCTCAAAGCGCTGCAGATCGACTCGCACCTCCGCGTCAAAGGCGCCCCCCTGGGCACAATGTACGCGCTCGGCGACGCCTCCACCATCGACACGCGTCTCATCGACTACCTCTACGACTATGTCGATCGCTACGACACCAACAAGGACGGCAAACTCTCCTACTCGGAATTCGAGACCTTCGCCAAAGCCATCCGACACAAATTCCCCATCGCCTCGAAACACTTTACCAAGTTGCGCGAGATGTTCAATGCCTACGATGTCGATCACGACGGGCAGCTGAATCTGAACGAGATCGCCAATGTGCTTATCGAGACGGGGAACAAGATGACCGCGTTACCTGCTACGGCGCAGGTGGCAGCGCAACAGGGGCACTACTTGGGGGACAAGCTGAACAAGCTCGCGGCGAGACGCGATGCAGGCCAGGACATGCACCCGCACACGGCCGAGGACGTGCACGACGTCGACGACGAGGTGGGCAAGCCGTTCCAGTACAGAAACCTGGGCAGTCTGGCGTACATCGGCAATGCGGCGGCGTTCGACCTGCCCATTCCTGGGGGTAGCTTTGCAGGGGGGTTGATTGCGATGTACGCGTGGAGAAGCTTCTACCTCAGCGAGAGCGTCTCGATGAGGACGAGGGCGTTGCTGTTGGGCGATTACATCAAGAGGGGCATCTGGGGCAGGGATCTGTCGAGGATCTGAGTTATGATTAGCCGAGTTTTTTTCATTGTGTTTATGCGAAGAGATGGAAAACGCATGGTTGGCCGTCGAAAAGTTCCGGTGTGTGTGTGTGTGTGTGATTCAGAGTCGATTGTGGGCAAGTGACAGCGAGAAGTTGGCTGTGAAGATCACCGTTTGCGAAGGATCAGCGCGGAAACCCGCTGTTCGATCAGAACCTCGGTTTCTGCAAACACAGTCGAAGCGCTCTAAACCCCCCCCCCCCCC